TCACTCTTTGCCGCTCGTAGTCAAAACTAATTTTTACGATTTTCGTTTTCTAAAATAAATATAGATCAAATCAAAACACGCAGAAGACCTTTTTTGTTGTATTTTGAATCTAGTTGATTAATAAAAAAGTCGCTTTTTGATATACCGTTTAGTCTTCATAATAATTGAAAAAGACTGAAAAAAAAAAATGTAAAAAGAACGATTTGATAGTATTTTGTTACGGCGTAAATTATCACATGATTTCCTCTTGTGATAACGAGTATTGTTTTGTATTCGTAGTCTATGAAAATTACCAAATCATTATTTTATATTTGACGACCACTTGTGCAATGATTTACAATTATTAATTTAATAAAATGCTAAAACAACGATCTAAAAAAATCAGTTTATAAGAATTGTTTTAATAATATTCTTGATTTTGTTAATTATTATTTATTAAAATTTGTTTGCATATAAGTATATTATATTTTGTCATGAAAAGAATACATTGATATGAAACTATTATTTTTATGTTTTACTAATAGTTTTATATTACATGCGTATATTCCAAACAACCTTATAACCTAACCTTCAAATTGTTAAGAGAATTTAAATCCCTAAAGGACCAGTCAATTCATTACATTTTTTATGTTTTAAATTTAAGTACGTATTATGACGAAAAAATTGATATTACAAAAATTCGTTTGTGACTATAAGTTCGCTAGGTACGGCGATTTGTAATATTACGCGTGACGTCACAGATTCGTACGCCTCGGCGGCGTTGATACGGCTGTACGGCGCGCGGAGTGTTAATAATGCACTACTGCCATCCAACCAAAACTTTAAAGTGGAATATCTCGTCAACGAATCAACGGAAATCAAAAATTTCAACACTAAAATTTATTTTAACTAATACGCCATCTATTTATGGACTTTTTACTATAGGTTGTCAACTGAAAATCAAAAGTGGGTAGTGGTTTTACTCCCAAAAATAAGAGTGAAAAAAAATAACACAAATATAAAATTATAGAGCAGCTTGTTTCTTAAATGTTCTAGAAAACAAAATTCCCAAAATCTTAATAATTTTCGAGATAATCAGTGTACCTAAATAGATCATTATGGTCTACGGCCGCCACCAAGGCGTACGAATCAGTGACGTCAAATCGTTCTTTTTACGTTTTTCCCCAGACTTTTTCAATTATTAGGAAAACAACACGGCATATCAAAAAAATACTTTTTTATTAATCAACTAGATTCAGAATACAACAAAAAAGATCTTCTGCGTTTTTTGATTTGATCTATATTTATCTTAGAAAACAGAAACCGTAAAATTCAGTTTTCTCTACAAGCGGCAAAAATGAAGAGTCGGAAAGGACAGCCAAGCAGGTCGAAAATCGATTTTGGGTACCAGGAGACCATGCGGACAACGTCGACGCGCCACTGTGGAATAATTACGTCAAACTATTCCCGCCAGTTTTCACCGAATCTGCTATGTTTTGTTAACCATATCGTATTGTTAGTCTGTGTTATCTAATATCATGTGAAATGTATGCGAATATTTTACTTTAGGCCGTGGCCCGTATTGAAAAATAATAAAATATATTTATAGTGTGTCCTACTGTGTTTGATGGAATTTTCTTGAGGTGTTAATGTTAAATATTTTTTGTTTTTTTTTTTTTTTTTTTGATCGGCATTTCTTCGAGGGGAACATCGGTTTGAAAAAAAAAGTTATTTTTTTATCATCCTTTAAACATACACAAAAAAAAAAAAAAAAATAACTTTATTTATTAATTTTACAAAATTTTCAAAATAGCCATTTTGTAAAAGATATTATTATCCTAAAAATTGTAATACATCAAATATTCATATCCGATGAATAGTTTCTTAGTAATAACTGTTTTAATTTCTAAAAAATAAAATGCAAAAACTATTAATATTCAATAATAATCACAATCACTGCACGGTAATTCCTTATCACAACAATAGTTTATACGTTAAAATGTTTAGAATAGTGTCTTTTACAAAATAGTTTTCCCGTCCGTTGTTGCCCGTACCAAACAAATGTATAATAAAAACTATTTTCCTCTGGAATGGAAGTAGGGATCACAGTTATTATCACCGCAATTAGCCGTTGTTACCCTTAAATTTTTAAAAATGCATTCTCTTTAATTTTCTTTTCAACATACTTATATTAATTAGTTATAATATGGTTGGTAAGCAATGAAAAGTACCTATAAACTAAAAACGGCCTGACAGGAATAAAAAATTTCAACGCTCAAATTTATTTCAACTAATACTACATATTAGTATATACGGTGTTGGGGGCAATGCCCACATCGCCTCCACCCTGGATCCTCCACTGGCAGGATCTGATAGGAAATATGTTTTATTTTAAATATAATATCTAGTTGACAGTTTCTGATACATATTGTACACGTTTAACGTTCAAAAAAACCGTGTCAATATGTGTCTGCATTATATTATTTTCATTATCAACTACTAATCGTATATTTATTGTGTTTACGAGTAGGTGTAAATATTACGAGATTTATCGTTGTTTAACAAAAAAAAAAAAATAATATATACATATATGCATACATAAACACGTATACGAGTTTAAAATAGACTAGAAAATTTAACACAAAATTCATCATTTGGTCTTATACTGTTAAAAAAAAAAAAAAAAAAAAAGACCGAGCGTTAATTTATAAACAGTATAATATATTTTTTCTGTAAGCGTTTGAAGTTCAATAATATTGACGAAACTCGTTAAAACCGTAGAAATCGTAAATATCCTATACACATTAGTATATTACCTATCCCAGACAATAACTTTCCGACTTCCTGCAACAGTATCGGCCAGTGGCGCAGCTGGAAGGTGGGCGTCAACTGCTTTTTAGATGCTTTAAAAATAGTTACACGTTATTTTGTCGTTTGTTAAATGAAAATTAACCACTTCGAATATTATGTTTTTTGGCGGACAAGACCTTTTTCGACCAAAATTGTACCCTTACATTTTCGGCTTTTTGGCTTTTTAGCCAATTCACTTCGGCCAAAATAAAACTAAGTTACTAAGCACGTCATACATACTTAAAAGTATACGATTTTCAAAACAAAAGTTTAATTTATACATATAAAAAGATTTATTAATAGTATTTTTATGTTAATATGTCATATACCTGTTTATAGTATTAAATCAATTTAATCAATGGTTATGGAGCTGCGATATTTTTATTTACTTATATTATTATTATAGATTATCTTTCTTACCTGTGTATTTTTAGTTTGACCAAAATGGGAAGAGTACGATTTTGGTCGAAAACGGTTGTGCCCTTTTTGGCTACGTCACTACAGGTATACCTGTACACAATGATACATCGTATGGTGGGAGAGGGGGGCTAAGGAGGTTAGGTTATAGTACCTAATGGATCGTGTTTATAAATGTATACTATTTTCCGATTTGAGTGTTAACGTTTCCAGTTCTTTTTTCCGTTCTTGAAAGAACGGTGATTAGTGTTATTACACCGAACCGTATGATGACGCAATGTCGGAAAACTGTAATAACGGGTTAATATAATGCGGCTAATATAATTAAAACAGAAGACCTCAATGTAAGTGATGTAAATATACTGTTATTGTACAATATTCTCCTATCGGGAAGCCACTCTCAGAGGGGAGTAAAAACAGTTACAATTATGTTATTAAGTTCTTTGTGTTTGAACAATTTTCGTTTAAAATACATTACATTTTTATATTGGTGTTGATTTTTGTTGTCGGGTATCAGCGCTAAGTCGAATGGTACTAGTTATGCTGGTAAATTGCTTTTGTTTGTTGGCTATCAAGGGGTACTCGCATACGCAGGGGAGACCGCAAGAAAGCTACCATTATTTCCCGCATATATATATGCATATATGTATTACATTAAAATATATACTAACGAATAACGAATATATTATTCTAAATTCTTTCCAGTTTTTCCTCCTAGAATATTAATGAGAATTTCAAAAAATGTTCCGTCTTAAGTACCGACAAGAGCCAAAACGTATCGGAAAGGTCTCTTGTCGTGTTTTGGAGCAAGATTTCCGGGAGAAATTGTGTACACAGTGTGAAAAAAAAAAATCATTGTAAAACCAATACATTGCTCTATTGACACGGAACATAAAAATGAAAAACATACGAATACATTTAACTTTTTACCGTTTGTCATGTTCTTATGGGATGCGTGTACTAAATATTTTAAGATTCGCCAGGTCATAATTCAGAGGCTGAAATATCGATGTTCTTGTTCGTACCTACTGCACACTTTATACCGAACCACACACGTACCGTAGATACCGTCACCCCCTTCCCCCCATCGCAGCAACGGCGCCGTTTAAGAGCAGGGCCGAAAACGATTACAATAAACAAATATCAATAACGCACGGTCGCCGCGCGATTTTCGATTCCGTGCAACGCGCGCGCGCATAACATATTTTCGTATCACGCAGAAAGCGTGTCGCCGTAACTGCACACGGTCTTGGTGCCCGGCTCCGGTATTTTTACAATATTATAGCCGGCGGCGGCGCCGAAACGTCCCGCGGAATTGCGAATCAACGGGCGTCCGCGCGTGATAGTCCGAAGGTGGCGTTTATTTATTCAATTCAATCCTCGAACCCGGCCGCGAAATCCGCCTGTGACGCGCGTCGCAGATAAATCGGGTAATCGACGCGACCGCGCGATCATAGCGCGCGTTCCGGATTCGATACTCGCCGACGGCCGTCGTACCCCCCCGGCATCGGGGACCCGGCGTCGCCGGGCAGTTACAATTATTGTCGTCGGCACGTCGCCGATCACCTGCGTTTGCCGTTGTTCGCGCTGCGCGGGTACCTCTGCACCTGTCCGGGCCGGTTATCGCGCACAATTATCATTATTGCGATTGGTGAACGCCCGCGCGTCGCCGATCGGCGGTGCGCGCACCGCGGCGGCGGCGGCGGCGGCGGCGAAACCAGTCCGGCGGTCCGTGTCGCAATCTCCCGCGGACCGTTTCCCAAACGCATTGCCCACCGTTTTGCCGGTTCTCGCGCGCGAACGCACGTACCGCGCGCGTATCATTAGGTGGGTACCGCGCCGTCTGCTTGCTCGACGCCGTCGCCGCTGTTCGCTCGTCCGCTCGGCCCAATCGTCGCCCGGTTGCCGTTCGGTTTTCAGCTCTCCTCGCGCGCCTGTCGTGTTTCGGTTTCGCCGAGTGTTTTTGATTTTCCCGTTTGGTTTTTTTGTATTTCCTTTTTTTTTTTTTTTCTCGTTTCTCCCCCGACCACTGTCTTCTCGTCGGAATATCACCCGACACGCGGCCGGCACACGGTCCATTCGCTTGGCGTAATTTTCGCGACAACAAAACGAAACAGCACAGAAAAAAAAAAGAAAAACAAACAGAAAAAGTTTTCACGCGTCCTCACACCGGGAGCGCACATATTATATTATTATTATTATCGTTGTAAACGACGAGACACGCCGAACCATGGAAATCGACAAAGACGGAAACGCCGTCGTGAAAATGGCATCGGGATACGTGCTCCGGTTCGAAGGCGATCCGGAATTCGAACAGGTGTACCTTGACCGCGCCAAAAACGAATTGAACGAGACGCCGGAACGTCGGGCCGAAGCGCTCGCGGAACTCCGGAAACTTATTCAAGGTATAAGATTATGTTTAATGCCTGTAATTTGATTGTTTTTTTTTTTTTTTTTTTGTTATATCTTACGCGCGTTTCATTTAGAAAAATTGAAAACTCTATCGAAAGATTGTTCTTTTTTTTCGATTTTTTTAATCCCGTTAAATCGGTTCATCGTTGTTCAGAACGAGGTGTATTATAATAATTTGCCGTAAACGTCGCGGTTCTAAATAACGATAATAATAACGCTGCAGGTTTTCACATTCACATATCTAACGAACCCGCGTCGAATCAAAAAGTTTAAACGGTATTGTATAAATAATATCTTTGAGTGAATAACGCGATACTTTTGTAACACGATTTTCGTGCATGAAACTCGCGAATCGATATTTGAGCCCGGCGCACAAATGACACACACAACGACAAACGTCGAAATGTTAATTTTAAACGCTTCGATGGAGAAAAAAAAATAAAATAAATACCTTGCATAGTATAAATACCTACAAAGTTTCGATATTTTTACTGTGCCGTCGTAGGAGCCAATTATGGTGAACCTTGTATCGGACAATTTGCAATCATTCATTTTTTTTTTTTTTTTATTCGCGTAATAAAACCATCCCTCGGGTCGATGATCGGTGCAAGGTTCCCGGCGGAAAAGTTGTTTGAATAGAGAAAAAAAAAATAAAATCGCACATTATTATGTACAGTAATAAAAAACCGTAAAATTCCTGGCTGTTCCCAGAAGGTCTAAAAGGTACGCATCAAACGATTCGGATGTTTTATATACATATATACCTAACCGAAAAGGAAATTAAACATTATTAGTTTCGTGTTAATCCAATAGAATGTACGATGATGGACATTAAAGGTCGGTGACTCGGCGAGTACAATACAATGCGTAAACACGCATACCCGCGATCCGCAGCGTGATCAAACGCAATCCTTTATATACTAATTTAAAAACGTGCGCGTGCGTTTTATTAATTTTAAGTAACCTTAAGGGGCCGGATCCGGCTAAACGGTCCGTTTACGCGTCTGTCCGTCTTGTACGAGACATATTTTCAGGATAACACTGTCGAATCCCGAAGCTGCAGACGCGCTTATACTCGCACGTTTGTTCTACAAGTAAATAAACGGAACTGTCAAATCCACGCGCGTGTGTTATATTATAATGTGCCGGGTTCTAGGCAGACGGCGTAATACGTCGATGTGATAACGATTTAATTGCAATTGTTGTCGCGGCTTTCGCGTGCTCGAATGTATCGTACAAAAAAAATTGCAAAAAAAAAAAAAATAAATAAAACCAACGAAAACGTTCCGAACGGGCGGAATGTCGTGGATTTTCAACGGCCACACGATCGATTATTTTTAATGCCGTTTCGCGTGCAAGTCGCGGTCTCGACACCGGCCCGAAAAAAACAGTTTTAAACTTTTCACATTATTTCGCACCCACCCGTGAAGGTTCCCGTCGGTTTTCGGTCACACACGCGACACCTGTGGAACGGACATATTGTATTAATATTCGGGTCTGCAGCAGTTCGATTAAACCGGAAAATAAAAACGATTCGCGGCATAAAACGATAACACTGTCCCGCAGTATAATTGTGCAGTTTCATTATATTACTCGGCTTATTATTAATGAAGGCGAAAAGCGTGTATAGGTTATTGGATAATATCGGTGTCGACGAATCGTTGTATTCGAAAACCGATTCCGAGCGCAGCTGAAATCTGTAGTATAAATATGATGTAGTCGACAGTCGTGTCCGTCGTGCCCGTCAGTAGCCGAAAGGTTATATTGGCCAGACAATCGACAAAAATATGACGCGCAACAGCGTATCGTCATTTGGTGAAACTTTTTTTGAAAAACTGTTGCGAACTGTTTCGCGCAGGCGAAAAATCCGCCGTTTTTACGGCACTGCGTGACCGGGTCTCGCAGTGTAAACGGAAAAGCGCGTCTGACATAGCCAACAGCTGCTTATTCGACACACCGAGACGTTTGTCTTATAAACGCGTAAATTGCGAATTTCGATACATTTTATAGGTTTTACGCATTCGAATAATCGACGCGAAAGCCGTTGAATATATTATAATAAAACCGAACGTTTTTTTCAATATCGCATTGTTATTATTGTGTTTTTTACTCGATATTTATTTTCGTCGTGATTTTTTTTTCCACGCGAATGACAAGATTCGAATATTGTATGAGCTCGTACAGCACGATGTGGAATTATCGCGCAATGGCCGGCCGCCGATTGTCGACGTGCACCACACGGCGATTGATAATAATTGTATTACAATAGCGCACGAATCGAGATGAAGCAACGGAGCATATTATTAAGTGAATGCGAATAAAATGACCCCGAAGTAACCGGTAACGAACTAACAGTAGGCGCACAATGTTCCGTACGTATAGGTTGGTGTATACGTACGAAGCCTGCAAAGTGTTTTCAATTGAATTCAATTACATACGTACGGTACGTACGTACGTTTGTTTTTTTTTTTTTTTGTCCGTTTATTTAACGTAATACTTATCGTGAGCAACGGAATAGTAAAAGTGATAATCAAACGAAACGCACGGTCGTACATAATACACAGACGCGCCGTGTAAACGTATTTAATTCGATAGTAACAGAATATGGCAGACGATTATTATAATGTTGTATGGTGCGGGTTTGTTCGCGCGGCCATCCGTAGAACCGCGGCCGATTACATCGGCCGTTCTCCGTGTCCGTCGCTAAAATCGTCCGCTCGGTTCGCCTCTATTTATTAATTTTTTTTTGTTTTCTCACAACGTCTTCCCGCCCCGGCAATATCTATGAAAGGATCACCCTATATATTGGGCTCTGTTCGAACACAGATATCCCGACATCCCGCGGCCCGTGTCGAACATAGACAACTTTCCCGGGGTAGGGGCTCACTTTTTTTCATTGGTCATTTCTCACGGATATCGCACATTTAATAAATACGTTTTGTTTGAAAATCTGTATTTGTCAGAGCGTGAATGAAATTCCGGGGTGGGGGAGGGTATTTGCCCCCGTCTCCTGCGGTAAATTTTTTACACCTACCCTACCCGTCTATACTTATGAGTGATGTTTTATCTCAAGAGTACAGGTTATATCATAAAGAACGGATACGATCTGAAAAAACAATAATTTGACTACCTATATAGGTATTGTTCCGGAGAATTTCAATTTCAATTATTGGACTCTGAATCGTGGAATGTATTGGTTTTACTGTATGACGATTTTTCTTTCTGTAAGCTAATTTTCTACCAGAAATTTTGTTTCATTCAAAATACGTATAGGAACTTTCTTGCCGAATTTTTAATCAGATCAGTGAATTCAGCTAGTTATTTTTTTTGGGGAAAAAGGGAAAACACCGTAAATTGTTTGTATAATTTTTGTTGATTTATAGATTAACTTGACGGTCAATTATAAAATTCTTCTCAGAATCGTTTTTCGTCAGAAACGGTTTATCGCTGCGTACAGATATAAGCTCTACGTATCCTACCCGATCGCAACTTTCCTCCTAAATCAGTGGCACGATCATCGGCAGTATCATTCTTTTTTCGAATTTAGCTATTCTATCAGCTATAAACTACAATGATATTAAATACCTATCTATAATATTTCTTTTACGATTTGTTTACTCGGAGTAATAATAACGTAATAGGCAGAATTAATAATATTACCGAATAATGTCCAACACTATCTCAAAAGTCGTGGGTATGTTATTTTCGTTGACGGTATAAAAATATCATGTAGAAGTAATATAGAGTGTAACAGAACTATTTGATGTTTTTACATGGTAAAAATGTCAAATCTAAAAACGTCAAATACCTAGTCCAGTTACACTCTGTATGTCATGTACGATGTACTCTGAAACCCGGACGGGAGGTCCCGGGAGACCGGGGCACGTGGTCCTCACTGGTCCGCTCGTTAATATGGAGGGCATCATTAACTCACGGTAGCCAATATATTATATTAATTATACATTATACTTACTGAAAATTCGTAAATTAATCTGTTATTTAATAACGATTTTTTTTTTTTTTAAACATTTAAACTCGATTTAAACACCGTTAAAAATATATTTTTACAATCGTCTAGATACTAAAATATAGCCTAGATGTGTTGTAGAAATAATATTGAATAATAATTTTCTCATCGTCACCATATTACTTAAAATTTAATATAAACACGGACTTTTTTCGGTGCTATTAATATGTCATTATTCATTTTTTGTCTACGAAATAAGTTATCACAATACATTATGCCGTAGTTAATGCTCAAAATCGATGTACAAGCGCAGCGGCGATAAGGACGACGAATAATACGGTAGTAATATTATTATAGGGCGAAGGACTTGTTGTAACTCTAAAAATTCACCGAACATCGTTGGCGACAGAATTGTCAACCGAAACAAAAATATGACTCAAAAACTATGAAATAGAAGAAACGTGTTTGAAAACCGAAAAAAAAAAAAAACACCTCAAAACATTTACAATCGCGTTTACATGCGAAATAAAATTGCAAATCTGGTCCGGCGTAAAAAGTTTTTGGTTTTTATTCCGTCGGGTTTTTTTTGTTTTTTTTTTTTCTCTACAGCGTAAAACAAATGTCACTACGCAAATGCTACAAGTTCTCTGCGCCTAGTAATATTATTATCATTGTCGTTCAGGCCGGTTATTTAACTACACGCGCGCGCGCGGCGGTCGGATCGACTGGGTTAATCGATGTTTTGTCGAATTGACCGTCCGTAACGTTATCATCGCCGCGATCCGCGGATACCGCGCCGGCGGTACGCGACGACGCGAAATTTCAACGTAAACAATCGATGACGGCGATAAAATACGTACCGTCGACCCGGTTCGGATAACGTCGCACGGGGGTCGCCTGCCGGGCGCGGCGGGCGCCCGCGTGATGCGCGCGAACGTTCGCGCAAAACTCGTCGTAAAAAAATATCGCCGTACCGACCGCCGGAACAACACGCTGTTATTACCGCGCGCGTAAAACGTTCGGACCTCGCGGATAACGACGCGGTGTCGTCCGGTCCGCGCGGCGGTGTCCCGTTGCGTTCGCGGGATGCCCGCGTTCGCAGCGCCCGTTACATTTATTAGCGCGGCGCGGATTTACGCGGCCCGCGCTCGACGCGGCGTCATAAAACGAGACCCGCGCACGACAAGCAGGGAAATAAAACCAAGTCCGGGGCACAGGCGCCGGGTTCCGGACGTGTCACGGGGTGGTGGCTCGCCATTCCATAAACGCGCGTAGTAATCGTGTACAAAAACAAAACCGTTCGTCTCTCTCGATCGATCCGTTATAGACGAAATCAATACTTTCACGGCGTACGCGACAAATATTGTTTTTGTAATATGTTTTCACAATATCAGAACCGCGGTAGGGGGGAGGGGAGGCCGCGGCCCCCGGGGCGCCCTTGTACACGACGCCCCCGTCCGACGAGCGGACTGGTCAACGACAACGGTTTACGTTGCGGCCGCACAATAATGGTAAATATCCAACGGAATCCGAACAACAGGTAGAAAAAGAAAAAAAAAAAATTCGTTTGTTTTACGGCGTGTACAAATGTTGTTTTTTTTTTTTCTCGTTTTTCCACGGTCTGCATCGTCACATTTCAACCGACTCGCGTTGACAGATTTCAACTGACCCCGATCGCGTTCGGCGGAGTCAAACGTCGACCGCTGTAACGGTCATATCAACCGGGTACATTGTCTACGGTTAAACCGCTCGACATAATATCCGGTCGGATCGGGCGGTTGTTGTCACAGCTCGCTGCTCACCGCGGTTATCGTCGTGACAGCCATAACGCGTGACGCGCATTACGTTGTGATATCGTATTGAATACCGTCAACGACTTCTACGCCCGTAATGTACGACACCTATATACACACGGGATGCCCACGCGCGCGTTTTAAACGAATAATCGTTACTGCACGCGGTGACCTGTCCAAATATTACGTGGGTTTTACCCGTCAGCTGTCAAGGCTGGGCGTCTGCGCGCTAGTGACAGTCATACGCCGAGGTGATTTCAGTTCTACCGTCTTGGCTCTTAACATTCCGTCCGGATTTCGTTCGCGCTCGTCCCAACTTAATGTATCGCGTGGCGGCGGGCGAGTTGATTCTGATTGAATTGCGGCGCGCTCGGTCAATTTCAGTTGGCGCGACGACGATTTCACGAAAAACACGCTTCTCGCGACGAACGGGCCACTGTCGCGCAGTCGAGAACGGCCGGAACGGAGCGATACGGAGAGGAGGTGCGCCGGTATATCTCTACGCGACGGTTAATCTTTGCCAACGAGAAACGAAGTTTTGAACGGAGTTCGGGGTTATACACCGCGCTTCGAAAGGCCGTAAATATTATTTACGGTTTTCGTCAAAATTCGATACTAAATTTCTTGTAAAAAAAAAAATTATAAATTGCACTGAATTTTTTTTTTCTTTAACCGCAAAGTACGACTCAAAAATAAAATTCCTGTTAAATTCGAAAGCATTTCTCCTTGGTCTAGCAATTTTTAAACATTGAACAAAATTAAAATGTCTATAAATAGCTCAAAAATGGCTAAAATGGTTTGAAAATTTTACCGCGTCTACAAAAGGAAAACGCTAGTTTTCTGTCCGAAATTCAAGTCTCTGCGAATACTATTCGTAACACAATCACAACGCAAATAACACATTTCCCACATTTTCCGGTTTTTCCCCGAACGATTACCCGAAAGTACCGTCCGGATAAAATCCCCTTTCCGCAACGGTTCATCGCTATTGATAAAATCCGAGCGAAATTTCCGGTACAAAAAAATTCGTTGGCACAAAAAAAATTATAAACATCGTTGTGAAACGCGACTCGAGTTGACAAAAACCGACGCGACTTATCGACTACGCCGCGAGGCGACGTCCGACGCGCAGTACGGCGATAGCCATTAACGCGTTGACGGGGACTGAATCCGTAAAACTTTCCGAAATATTCAACGGCCGTACCGACAGTTACGGTCACGTCCGTTAGCTCGCCCGCCCAACTCGCGGGCATCGCCCGCCGCGTACGACGTTCAGCCCGCCGGTTCGCGCGGCACGGACCCGGCGTCGTTGTCGCAGCCGATTCGCACGTGCGCGGCGGCCGGAACGCACGCCGCACACGGAAACCGTCCGGGCGAGTAAACGGCCGCGGGACCCGTAGCGCTTCGTCTACGCAAAACCGGCCGACCGCGCATCGCAGCCGTCTCACGCGGTGCGGCGTAGCGCGCGAGTAACGGCGCACACTCGCCGTATTGTTAAGGTGAGTGCCTTACCCGCGCGATAAATCACGACGGCGAGATATCCGCACCGCTTTCACGCCCCACAACGCCGTGTGTGTATACACCCGTGCACCCCCGCGTCAGAGCGTCGTGCGTTTCGAAGGCAGTCTCGTAAATCGAAAAGTTTTAATTTGAAAAAAAAATTAATTCCCCGAGAGTTCACTAAGCGAGCGGCGCCCGCCAGCAGGTAATATATATTGTAATATTGTGACGGTGCATAGGGCAAGATTTTAATCGATTCCCGTTGAAAAAAAATTACACGCGAACAATGTTTGTGTTTCCTTTCAAGACAAAACAATATAACACGTCCCGATTAAAACTTTTAAAGCTCACTCGGGTGCGCATTTGAATTTTTTTTTTTTTTTTTACAAATATCGAAACGAAAAATACAGTAGGTGTAAAATTAAAAATACGCGAGTACATAGGGTAGTTTAGAATACAAACGGATTTTAATTGTTCGATTCTATCGTTAATCTGCCACGGTAATCACTATACGTATGCGATGTTGTATGAAATATCAAGCGTAACTAACCAGCAGGGGTTCGAACCTCTCGAAATTTGAGAAAAACGAATCCTTTTGCTAATTCTGGTTATAGTTGAAAATATTAATTAATTTTTTTTTTTTTTTTTATTTATAAACTTTATTGTCCCCTAGAAATTTGTTTCCGTGTACGCGCAAAATATTATTGATAAACGGTTCTATGTGATTTTTAACAAAGTGTACCAAATCAAACGGAAAAAAAAAAAATGTTTATACGTTATTTAAACAATTTTTTTTTAACACGTTATTTTTTCTCCCCCGACGTTATTTAATTTTATATACATAAATAGATATGTGTGATATAACAAACATCGGTATAATTTTTGAATGTCCGGTACGAGACAGTATCAACATCACGGTTTTCGTATCAAAAAAAAAAAAAAAACGGATACGTGAAAAACACTGCGTTTATACATTTCCATATTAGGTTTTTTTTTTCTTTAATTAAAAAAGTTTGACGATAAATTTACTAACTCCGTGTAGATAAGCGATAATTAATGTGTTTAACGCAGGCATCTATCGGTTTTCGTTTTAAAACGACAAATTCACAATATATTTTGTACAATACCTATAATATAGTTTACAGTTTTCATTTGGACCGGATCGACTGGATTTTTACCCGACGAATTAATCAATCGTTAATCATTATATTAAAATTAGTTTTTGTTGGTGTAATCCGGGTAAAAATATCCGTAGAGGCGTGAAATTTGGACAGAAAACTCGTATTTGTCTTTTGTAGACGTGGTAAATTTTCAAAACATTTGAGCCGTTCTTTAACTATTTATAGATATTTTTATTTCGCTAATTTTTTACGTAAGTAGTTTTTGTTCGAAAGGACTCCGGGGAAGAAATTTCCAGACCAAACAGAAATGCTTGAAAATTTAACAGAGGGTTTATTACAAGTAGTACTTATTGGTCAATAAGTAAAAGTTGAGTTTAATGAAGTGTTTTCTTTTTTTTTTATATATAAGAATTTTAATATCAAATTTCGACGAGTAGTAAAATATATTATTACGTTTTTTATATTGTTTTTCGTTGGTTATGGTTTATCGTTGTTTACAGATATAAATCAAAATCCCTTCTGTATCCTACCTGCCTTCATTCTTACCTATAACAGCGGTCCACTCGTCACACAAACTACAAAGTATGTCCGACCTTTTTTTTTTTTAGTTCTCGGTCGATTGAGAAACAAAACATCTGTTTTCGGATTCGTCGTATTCTCAAAGTAACAAACGTACGCGTGCGTACGAGTACGGAGTAGTCGATGTATTATTGTAATATTCGCACCGAGCTCGTTTCGAACCTAACCGATTGCTCCGATTTTCAAGCGTAGCACTTTTTCTGAAAAGAAATCTGACCGGAGCGGTCATTCGTGGAGCTCGGTTTTTGATTTTCTTAGGGGTTTTCATAACGGGGGGGGGGAAACCGGGAAAATGTACGAAATCGATTGTTTTCGAATCGTTAATCAATGATGCTAAATACGGTCGTTGAAAACACCCACAACCGAACTCCGGGCCAGAAGAACCGTTTCTCGTCGGCGCAACGCTCGACCGTCACGTTACCGCGCGCACGCATCCGATTTTCTCTCTGCCTTCCCGACTTCCCGACAAACAACAGCGGCGCACGCGAAGTGTACGCCCGTCCGTTTTCGTTTGTGTAACGCGCAACGCGTAAAAGCCGCCGCGCGATTTACTTTGCTCGCAGGAACGTCGCGGCGGCGGCGCGGACGCACGGTGCACGCGAACAAACGCGCGCGATTGTTTGCGTTAATAATTTGCGACCGTTTCAAAACGCCGCGCGCCGGCGACATTGGACGCCGTTCCGAAGGCCGTTCTCTACTCTCTCTCTGCGGATCGCGACAACATTGTCGTCCGTCCTTGTCGCGTCGTCTCGGCTTTTGGTACGTGCGCGTCGCGCAATAATAATATTTTGCTACCGTACCGTTTATTACGAACGTTCGCTTTACTACGGGCGCCCGTGCATTTCCGCCGCGAACACCGTGGGGGGGATTCCGAACAAAACTGTTTTCAAAATGTATTATTGTTTCGGTTCACCCGGCAGTGCTTCGCTGTTGCTGGACAACGCGGTCGTAAACAATAGCGTATTATAACAATAACAATAACAATAATAATAACGAAATAGTTTTCTTGTCCGCGAGTCCGTGACGGCCGAATTATCATCCGCGTCACCAAGGCAACCGATGAACCGACAGATATAGAATTGTATCGGTATTCCGAAAATGCCGAAAACCCTCCGCGTCCCGTCCGGCGGCCAATTTTTTTTTCGTTTTTTCATCCGTACCACCAAGGTGACCCGTGAATAAACAAAAACACATTAATAAACAATTAGATGTTCGTATCGAAAACACCCAAACACCCCTGTTTCATCCCTCCCCCTCCTCCTCCCCTTGGAAGTGTTGAATTTTCAAAAATCCTTTCTTAGCGGTTGCAGCCATAATTAACTATCTGCACGCCAGATTTCGGTCCGATCCGTCCAATGGTTAGGCGATGACGAACCAGTCAGTCATGACACGTTACTTTATGTAATATGCCAGGTGATCGTACACGTCATCTGTGTTGTGACGATAACGGCGGCGTTTTGAATAAATATTTTTGACCTGGCGGATGTCGCGATGAAACGTACAGAAACGTCACGGTCGTATCGAATATCGAGCGATTTTGTATCGTGATAGTCGGCAATATTCCGAGTTCGTCCCGGGTAAAAAAAAAAAAAATTGCAACACCGCAGATTGGGATACGATTTCAAAATATTATAAGGTATAATCCGGTACGTCCGGGCCATTTGAAAACCAATTCGGATTGAGTACAACTCGCGGAGATTTTCGTAAATCAAAATATCCATATCGGATCCGATATACGGTTATTTCTAATATTATGTCATTTGGTTTTGTGTGGGCGCAGCGCCGTCGTGTTTATGTTATGTTTCCGTAGAAGAGTCAAATCATAAAATTCTTCTTCTTCTTTGGCTTTACAATTCCGTAAGAATTTTCGCCGCCACCGTCACGCCTTTAGAGTCTACGGTTTTTTTTTTTTTTGTTTTTGTCTTTTTCGATGCTTTACACTTTTGAAGGAATACGCGCATTTGTAACGATACTTGAATATTTGAACGTATATTGTTCTTGGTGTATTATATAACGACAAAAACATTCAAAAACGTTTCCCGCGTAAGAACCCCGATATTATACGCTAACGTTATTATTGTAGGTACGTATAGATCCGCGCAATAAATATCTTCTTCGACCCGTTCGGAATCTCGAAACATACGAACGTCCACGTAAATAACAAAAAAAATCACGTTTTATTATAAATTGCGCGTGTATTTTTTTATTATTTAATTTTTTTTTTTTTCGGGGGAAGAAAAGAAAAGTCGCAGACGGTGCATCGCAGACGCGAAACGCCTATATATTTATTAATTACGCGGGCCGTTTGTGGGTCAAGGCAACCTTGGTGACCGGATTATGGACAACTTTATACTTGCTCACTACGAGACTACGATAACCGCGAGTCGTTGTGATTCGCTGTGATGTAATACCGTTTGTAACACGCGTATCTTGTACACTTATAACGCGACTGCCGTTCGAAACCAGTTTCGGCCCCCGGACACGTTTGTCGGACACATTATTATTGTAAGAGTATAGGTTACGCGTAAAAAAAAAAAAACGCCGCGAAACGTATTGGCACATAATACCATAACGTCTCACCCGAATTTCGCGGCCTCGGTAAGAATGTATTTATTTTTTTTTTCTATATAGATTCTCAGCGCGGCGATAAACGCGTATACGGTGTTTCACTGTGACGCACGCGATTTTTTTCAATTTTTTTTTTCCGTCGGACTTTTCTCGTTTCTAAACCGCGTAACTTTAGACACCTAATATCCGTGCGGGACGCGGAATGGAGTTGTGGCGTCCGTCTAAAGGTCAATCGATCAACCGCCACCGCCAACGTTTGAAAATCGCATCGCGAAAACCACAACCGACTCGACAACAAACGCTAACGGTTTGGCTTTTGTTTCGCCGGCCGCAGCGTTGAAGTCTCTCCGCGATTTTCCGAAACACGCGCACCGAACACTGTAGCCCGAAAATGTTCGCCGGGTCACACTTGGTTTTATATCGAACGTTTTCATTAAGTCCACGGCGAGCCGGACCTCGATGGCCCTTCATTTCCCCGGTCGACGTCCAACAGCAAATAATTTTGCGAAAAATAAGACGCCGAAACGTCAACAATCTTTTGTTTGAATAACTCGCCGCGCGTTGTTTGTTCCGACTGTTCCATAACGGTTAATTCGTATTCGACACCACGGGCTTTTCGAAACGATTATCATTCACCGATGAAAACGAATGGTAATTAATGAAGAAAATATTTCAATACTGCCGGGTGCGTAATATCTAATAGCGATATTCAAAGCAAATACGGTTTACAGTAACGAAACGCGAATAAAGAAAAGCCGGGCAACTTCGCACGATTAGTAGGTCACTGTTGTGGATGAAAAGTGGGAAGTCATGAAGGTTTAGAAGGAAATTTAATGTATATCTGTAAGCAACGAAAAACGATTCTGAGTGAAGTTCAATTGATAGTATTGCTTTGTCAACATTATGTAATGTGTCATATTATGGTAAGATAATTACATAGGGATTAAACATTTTTTTTAATAATATTTGTTTAATATTGTTCCTATTTTCCCCTTTTCTCGGTTTTTCCCATTTATTGGGAAAATAAAAAATGATCTACTTTAATAATAATAAACATCTTTATAAAACCATACGTTTCTTTGCTTCAATCAGAATCTAAAATATGAACGCGACAGCCGTGTAAACGAAATACAGTAATACACATTATCCGAGAAAACTGAACAATATTAAATATTGTTTTGTGCGTGTCGTAAATCAATTGGCCATGTGAATATGTGATCGTTTGTCGTATTAAAATATTTAATTTATTTTAAAACTATGGCGTTTTTTAGTTTTAAATTCTAGCAGAACATTGCCATATTTCAATTTGGAACAGTTTTCTACATTATACTTAAAAAAAAAAAAAAAAACACGATAGCCACAAACAGAAACATCATAAAAACAGTTTCAAATCTAAATAGGATTTCGAATCAATTAAAATTTTAAATCTGACTTTATTATAATGTGTTGCCCAACAATAATAACGATAATAAATAATTCGATACGATATCGGTATTTCAGTTAGAAAATTATAGTAATGGTAAATGTTTCTGTGCGTGGTTTTGATTTATTACGTCGAGTTTCACAAAATAGTTCACTCGGTAGGTGAAATAATATAATTATACACCTCAACCTGACTTTTAATTAATAATTATATTCTTTTTTTTTCATTTTAATAGACGTCTTATCTCTATATATTATAGGTAATTACACATTTAAATGCGGTTAAATCGGTTAATCATTACTCAACAATAAGCTCAATGTGAACGCGTGGATCTCTTTGATAAGAAAAGTCGGCCGTCTATAGTCTACGCAGTTGATTATACCTATTATAATATCTGTGGCAATAATTGAAATATAATAGCGAAACAGCCGTATAGGAATGATTATTATTTATTACCATTGTAAAGGATGTAGGCATTCCGCGTATATTTGTTGTACGACCTACGGTGCACCTGTAAATTATATGCTTTTTATAAGTATTACGAGTATAGTACAATTATGCTGCATTTGAAAATACATTTACAGTAAGTATATAGTAGGCATTCACGGAGTTCACTAAAAACAGATTAAAAAAAAATGTGTACAAATACAGATTTTTTTTTTTTTACATTTTATCCCATAGATCGAGTCGTTTTATTTATAACACAGTTTATAAAATATTCAGCTGGTTTAATAATAACAATACCGAAGCAAGTTAAAATGGCGAATTCTTCGAATTTTAAACACGGTGTAATTTTTCCGTTTAATACAAGAAAAACCGTATTAACACGTTTGTTTAAAAGTATTTGAAATGAGTATTCGAGTACAAACATATTTGAAAAATGTTTGATTTACCAAATCGAGTATAATTTTCGCGGTAATATTATTAAAAAAAAAAAAAAAACGTATTCGTATAAGTTTACTTAAAAGTATTAGAATGTTTCGATTTAAATAATACCTGCTAAAAATACCTTACAAGATTGATCTAAAGGTAATGAACAAAATAATACCTACTTATAAAACGTATGTTACTTTTGTATTGTTTCAAGTTTTTATTTTTTCCCGAAAGACTTCAAAATACTAGCAATCGGTAAGTGATTTATTTACGTGCGTTTGAAAATACCCGAACAAAAATTCTGTTTACTTTTAGCTTTTAGATTTATAATAATATTACCTGCTACTACTTGGAACTGACAAAATCTTTAAAGTGTGACGTATATTACGGTGAGTGTAAATTAAATCAACAAACTTAACAGACACCGTGCACCGTGAACAATACCAAAGTAAAATTATATACCGTAATATTTTGCGATAATTTCAACCCTTCAAAAGAAGTAACAAAAGTCGAAAACTCTGCGGGACATAATAAACTTTGAATGAAAATAATATCAAAACAAACGCCGGGACTTTGAGGGTCGTTGTCCGACCAAATTTAATTTACTTCGGCGCAAATGTTTTTTTTATCGGAGATATTAACGAGCGAGGTTATGATAAGTTGACACGTTTGATGCCAATGCGAATGCAGAGTTAAAAATTTCATCATAACATACGTGCAGATTATAACAGTGTCGGGTCTTGTAAAAATATGCGTATTTTTACCTGTATGCAAAACATGCAAGTTCGATAACGAAAAAAACAAGAGAAAACCGACGTTTTTGTTTTTTGTTTCGAACGCATGGATGTGCGCTTTTTATTTTTTGTGATTGTAAACAACTTTTCTACCTGAAATAATGCTCCGATCAAAAATTAACAAAATAGTATTATTGTAGCGTTTCGGATCTAGATGGCAATTTGAAGAGATAATTTTTTGATTTTCTGAAGCTGTTTTCATAATAATTGGAAAAAAAATATTTAGACGAATTGAGAAATATACAGTGATAAAAGTGTCATTATTCTATATTTTTTTTTGTTGTAATTCAGTTTAAAATTTTCACGGAATACTTATGGTTGGTCTTTTTTATACGTAGTAAACTTTTCAAAATATTCCGGCAATTTTTGAGCTATTTATAAGTATTTGACTTTTACGAGGTTTTTCAGTTTCTATTTGGTTTTTAGTGGATACAATTGTTTTAATATTTGGAAATTTTACTCGAGGTTCTAAATAAGCTATACTTAGTTGTCAAAAAAAGTTTGACGTAATGTAGTTGTTTTTTTTTTTTTCATAAGTATTATGAGTTAAAATTTTAACGAAAACGTAAACATCACGGCATTGCGAAACATATTTAACCAAACTCCGCTCACAATCATATTTCAACCGCAATGATTAATCGTTTGCGTGCAGACAGAAATTAAATAACCTTATGACGTATCCTATATACCTTATCAACTTCCCGCCGACGACAGTGGCACGTCCAATGTCAGTTATCTTTTCTGTTTTGATTCGAGTTTATTTTTTGGAACCCTTGACGGTTTATTTTCACACTTCTACGAATGTGTCCGTACAAGGATAATATTTCGTTCGCGTCAATCTTTCAAACCGGTTCTTTGAAACGTGTAAAATATTCATATCAGTAATTTATTATAAAGGATAATTTTTGCTCTTTTGATCTTGTTTACTATATTATCAAAATGTAACCTTTTTTCTCCGTATACATACCGAACGTACACATGTAATTATGTCGACTTTGTAAAGACATGTGTTATTTTTTCTCGAATTTACAGTTAAGACTGTAGAGCTCGAAATTAAATTCCATCATGATAAAAAAAAAAAAAAAAAAAAATGCCGTTCTGTACAAAAAGCCCAGTAGCGCGTGTATCTGATTTTAATAAGTTATAGCAATAAACATAATACGTAACATAGGCCGTGAACTATCAACGAATTTTTTTTTTTTAATTTCGAAAATTAATTTAGACGCATTATAATTTTTTTCAAACCGGGTTTATTATACCAATATTGTATTTCGTATTTGAAAAACGATTCGAATCGAATCCCTTTCCGTTTTGTATTATGTTAATTGATTATGCAAATAATCTGAAAGGACAATGGAGCTGCCGTCGAGAGTGGGCGCAGGGTAATAATAATACACTGATATATATTTGATCAAAAATATCTCGCCAAACATATCCTGTAAAATGGGTAACGGTCATAACAGGTTACGCCTGCCGTTATGGAGCGTAATAAGGTAGAGATAGGATATGTGAATGAGCTCAAAAATATCAAAAAAAAAAAAAAAAAACTACTTCAACGACCTAATAACTATACAAATAAAACAAAATAACACTTCAACGTCGATAGAAAATATATCGTACGTATATGTTGATAATATGTATACATCGTCGATTGTCTGAAAAAGCTTTTGCAATAGGACGCGCGAACAAAACAAAATTGTTAATAATAATTATTTTGACAACAATGGAAACTATTTACGTTCCACTAATAACATTTTATACACGTACAACTACAATTTATATGTTAATCATAATAATTTTAAACCAGTTCACTGATCTAAAAATATACATCAAATTACCAACACGTGGACTTACATATGTGTAAAATAGTCGACTGAAATTTAGGAACGTAGTATCCATCCCCAAGATCAGTTTAGTCGATCATTCGCATGTTTATATTGATATTAATTATGGTTTATTACAAAATAATATAATATAGTATCCAAAATACTACATGATTGGCCAACATATTTGTACAAAATAAAAATAACGTAAAAATACAAAATATACAAAATATTGTATTGTAAATATTTGTATATCAGTTCATAAGAAAATGAGTTGTTCAGAAAGCTCATCCAGTTGGAGTTGTATGCTCTCAGTACAAAAAAAACGTAAAAATGTAGCTAATCGTATAGCTAAATGTTTGAGAAACTATGCAATTGGTAAACAATTATCGGTCGCAATAATAATATTTAATAAATAATCATTAATGGGATTTAATAAATACTTTTATCAAAGTAATAAACCTTTGGTACCTATACACTTATAAAAGTTGAAACGCATTAATTGTTCGTCGGCAGTAATAACGATAATAATAATAATATTCGTTACTTTGATAAACACTTTTAAAAGTGGAAAAACGCAATGGATCCTACATTTGTTCGTAATTCTTTTCCTTTTTCTTTTTTTAAACGAACGAGTAAAAAAAAAAAATAAGATACAATCTATGGGACTGCGGACCACCTATGCCAGGCTCACGGACCGCTGGTCGGGAAACACTGTTTTAAATAACGTATAAACAAACATTGCTCAGAATTGTTTTTCGTTTGAAATGGTCGCACGTTTAAGGGCGTGATTTGTTCTCGAGTACGGAGCCGATATAAAAGGAAACCCAATATCATTAACAAATTCATCGGAAACTAAAATGTCGCAAGTCCCCTACCCAATCGTTTTTGTACATAATTCCCTTAGCTTTATACCATGAAACCATAACATTATTGTTTTTAATTTAGCGTATGCCGGTATTGTGCACCGAAGTTGGGCGGTAGTTAAATGTTATGACGAACCGTACAAAGACGTCCGTAAAACAATATCGATGCCTCGAGCGGTACTGCAGATTTACGAACCGCCTTTATAATACCGCCTCGTCTTTAAATCGCTATTAAAAGTTGAAAGAGATTGTTTACCCGTATCGTAATAATATAATATAATTTATACGCGTACCTGCGTGTACGCAAAGCGACAATTCGACAAAATACGCAAAAACTTTTACTCTGTTCGGTATTTTTCACAATAATTAGTAAAACTAATAGATCGCTACAATTACCTCTACTCTATAATTAAAGATCGAAAATCGATGTTTTTTTTTTTTTTTTTTTTTTAAAAATCGGTTTTACAAAATCCACAATAGCCTGCATTTTATAAGTATATTTCGAAACGAAATGTCGACGTTGCAAATGTTTTACAAAAAGTTTACAGAAAATTATTGATGACATATTTATTTTCATTGGACACATTCGGTCGTTCATCATCCAAATCATTTTGATCATTGAGACCCCGAGCGTAACGTGCGGTAAATAATAGGTATTCGTATTGGAATGTTACTTTTTTTTAATTATTATTTAACACGGTATGTTGATTTTATGCACCGTCGTGTACATAATTTACATTACTGCCATGCCATAATATACAAAACGCGTGGTTCGTTGCGAAAAATCCGTATCCTATACAGAGCGGTTCTGTTATCATCGTTACCCGCACTTACCATTATTATGATCAATTTACGACCCTATCCCATTACTCCGGTCTAAATTATTTGAACCGTTAGAACTCCTAAACAGTAAATCCAATGTATGTGAAAAAAAAAAAAAACCAAATAAAAAATAATTTGAACTGTTAATGCTATACAAATATATACGAATAATTTTAGTATTATAGCATGCGTATCAAAATTGTTCAGAAAAATGTCCTCGCGTCTGTGTCGCCTCTTTAAAATCAAAAGTTTACGCAGTGTACACTCATTTAAGGCACAACAAGAGTGCATTTGAAAACTGCTGTTAAAAGGTGTTAAACTTTAAAATATATTCCGTTTCTATATTTCGTTTGATATTGAATTAAAAACGGACGCGCCGTAGATTGACTCGCGCTTTCGCCGTAAGCCGTCCGTAATAATAATAAATAATTAATAACGTTACACTCGCCGATTCATTTAGTACTCATTTCGAGACAAAACGACACTTCGACAGAATGTTCGTGTGCGTCCGAAAACCGATCAACCCGACGTCCGATAACATATTAATAATTCGACTTTTTTTTTTTTTTTGCCTCTACTTGCATAATATAATACTATACTACCTATTAACTTCAAACTACGGTGTTTCGTTGTTTAGTTTTCCGTACACTGACCATTTTTGATTACGTTTAAAACGACAGACTGCGAACCAACAAGATCCGTGTACGATAAAATTCATTTCGGCGTTACGTATTTACTGTCTGTGCGTACATTTTTAAATGTTTCGTTGTCATACCGCACGGACCGAATACAATTCGTATAGAAAAACGCGTTATTTTCGTGTGAAACGATAGATGATAATATTGCCGTCAACGCATTTGAAAAGAAATAAATTATTATTATTATTATTACGACGACATAATTTTACGGCGATTGAATCAAATCACACGCAACGTTTTATAGCGATTTTAACAAATTGACCGGATAGTAACCGGGTCGAGTTTATTTTACTGTACGCCAAGTACGGCATTTAGTCTCGCCGTGACCGTTATTGTGCGTACAAAAGCCGTTAATGTGGAAAATGTCCGGTGGGGGGGCAGAGGGGAGCTGAAATTGTAAACCTTAACGTAGGTTGTTGCGTTTTAGCAATAAACGTGCAACTATCGCGACACGGCTACGCGATTCCGTTTATAGTTTTTTACTCGGCTTAGTTGTTTTACTTTTTTTTCCAGAACAACTCAACATGAACAACTCGTTAAAATAACAAAATCGACCGACTATCCCGGCTATACCCTAACAACCCGATTTAAATATACCAAAACAATATAAATACGCGACGACGACGACGTACATTTACGGTAGCGTTTTATCGATCGGTTTACTGATAGTTACGACGTGCACATTGGTACGTAGGCGGTAGGTGCCTACACAATGCGTAGTAAATATATTACATATTATTATTATATCGTTTGGCAAACGGACGCGTTAATTATTAGGTTACCGTGGATTGTTATGGCAAAGCGATTTGTTTGCGGTTTATCGGTCGACCTCCATTTGCGGTGAAGTTACAAAACGCGTACCGTACAGTACGACGATAAATCCGACTGTAGACATTTTAAACAGTACCCGATAAAACGCAGTTACACTGCCTTTCCGCAGTAATGGCGTAATATCGGTAACGTCAACAGTTCCGTACGTTAAAATCAATTCCGTGACGCGTACTATGGCGTCCGGACTGTGTTCGACGGCGATTTTCTGGAGCAGCTATTAATATTAATTTTTTTATTTCGGTCCGTTTTTCTTCGAAGGTAACGTCTATTTTCGCCACCCGATCTCAATAGATTAAAAAAAAAAAAAAAACTTTCTAAATAAATTTCCAACGTTTTCAATTTTTACCAAAACGAATCGAGTTATTCCTGATTGCGTTACGCGGTATCTTGTCTCGTTTTTCACACCATTTCCGTAGAAATTAAAGCGACTGATGCTAGAAACCCATTGATCCGACATGAATGCATTGACATTTTTAGAATAATACATTATACAAAACGGCTATTTTTTTTCCCTTAGAAATTATAGGTCGAAAATAAAACGAGTCCCTCTCGAGGAAAAACATGATATTAAAATAAGTTGCCTATGAATTCTGTCTTAACTATCCCTGGAAAAATCCGGTGGAACACGGTCCGACACTCTGTATTATACGGGATTGCTTTTTTCGAAAACTGTTTAAAAAAAAAAAAAAAAATGCGAAATTTCGCTTGTACGTTTTCTCGTTGACGGCAACGTAAAAATATGAAAAACATTCCGTAAAATATTAATTATTATTTAAGGCGATTTTAGTTTTTAAATTTTTTTTTTTTTTTATCGTAAACCCGCAGCAGCGATTAGCATAATACCTATAATTTTAGTTAATATATTATTTCTGTGAAGTACAAAGTTGTTTTCGGGTTGTTTAAAACATAAGTTTTTCAAGTGTTCATCAAGTTCCTCTTAAAATTATTTTTAATAAATACTTAATAATAATAATTCTCGTATCGGGTAAAATTATTTTTGACTTGTCTGCGCGACCATCGTCGTAATAAAATTACGATCATAAACAGAGATTAAAATAACTATTATTCAATTTTCCATTTTACAATATTGTTTTCCATAACGGATTTCCCGGTGCGGGGTATAATATTGCGCATATTCGCGAAAAAAATTATAATTATTAATGACTTTTAAAATGCGTTTTAACAGGTTTTGATTGTTTAGAGCGCGATTCCGTTAAACATTAATTACCTCGCCATATGTTATTTGTATTATTATTATTTTTTGTTTTTTTTTAACGGTATACCTACTAAACGGTTTTAAATTCAACACTCGGTTATACCTACGCTGTAGGGTTCCGCATACATACTCTCTAATGGTTCACCTGACACAATTTTCCCACCTATACCAGAAATGTGTTCGACCTATGATTATTTTTTTATCTAAACCTTTTCAATGCATTTTTCTAGTACAATACGCGGTGACTATGTTACAGTGTTTATCGATGGGATATTTCAATAATTTGACTATAGAACATCGCTTTCTGCAGAACAATAATAGCGTAATAATTATAACGAGTAGAAGGTGTGGCTCATTATTGAACTTTTTTATAGAAATTGCATTTCCTCGGTCATCATTGCAATTTGAAACTGTGATTATCTCTTCGACAGCAACAATCCTACACACCTATAATACAAATCGGATTATTCATAAAAACAAAACAAATATTACTAACCTTTATCGTCCCTACGAATTTACAGTTCCGTGTATCGTAATTTCGGTTCATTATCGATTGACTTAAAATGCCTAGCTGATTTAATTATCGACCGACGAAAAGAATTGTTCCTGCGCGTTTTTATTAGTTCACTGATGGTTAGCTGTACGCTATCTGACAGTTAGTGAAATTTTAGCGACACGTTGTAACGGCGGTCCTAAATGTGTTCGGTAAGCTATAGCGGATGGTTTAGCGGGGTATTATTGTAACAACAGCCCTGCCGTTTTCCGGTGATACTAGTAGTCCACGCCTGGCAGCTATAATAATATCTGTAAACGTCTGCCTTGTCATATTGTCACATAAAGTCTCGATATTTTACACATAAGGTCGATAAAAAAAAAAAAACCCGCCCCCTCATAAACAATAAGTTGCGTATTTTTATTACACCGTATACTTACGTACCCAACAGGGCTTTATAGTGTATTACATAGTGTTGAACATTTTATTGAGTAATATTTATCTTTGTTTGTTTTTTTTTTTTTATTTATCTATCTAATTTGCAGTAACCGTGAGTACATTTTCGGTACGTACGGTACACGGTAAATGTATATAAATCCGAAAAAACTGGTCGCGCATTCCGTAGCCACGCCTAAGAGTCAACATAAAAAATATATAAAACGACAGACATTTACGATCGTAAAATAATGGTCAACAAAACACGAGCCAGTCGTTGGGAACGAACGTGAATTTTCACAAAAAAATTAATTATTTACCTGCATTGTTTGTTATAATATCGTATTCTTTGTTTCTCGGCTGTTTACATCACGCGATATTGTAAAAAAAAAAAAAAAAATCAAAATATAGCCTGTTCGTTTGATTTATTTCTAGAAACTCGTCCTAAACAAATGACGTAATATACGTAACTAAATATCGTTGTCATTATTATTTTTTGAAACAGGAAACTGTTGTGTAGGGTGAAAGTGCACGTCATGCGACCGCGGACGCGTCGTGTGCTCGTGAACATTTCGATTTTCCGTTAATTATTTCGACCCCTGCAGTATAATAGAATGACGTGATTTTTTTTTTTTTTTAAAAAAAAATAATATTCCGCCGAAAATGAAGATAGGTTAGTAATACACCAGCGGAAATGACGGAAATTCGATTTTTCGCGTTGAATTCAAAAAGAAAAAAAAATACAAAAAAAAATCATTCCGAGCCATTAAAGTACACCGTAATGTACAGTATGCACATAAGATAAACGATAACGCGAGTCAGAAAATACGAATTTAACGTTTCGTAATGTTCGCACGACGTATATTATTATTATTATTATTTTTTTTTGCAAACGCATTGTTATATAATATAGGGGGTAAAAGTCATCTCTTTCGCGCGCGCGCGTGTGTGTGCAGCACCGCAGTGGCACCCAAACTATGCATTTCGAGTTTTCGTCGCCGATCGGGATTCGGGATAGTCGGGTAGAACGGGCACAGGCATTCGGAGTAGCGTACTGTTATAGGCCGTAGACGCGTGGAGAGGAATGACGGCCGCATCCGGATTTCGCGGATTTTGTTGGTTATCGTTTGACCCTAATCCCCATAGTAGAATTATATAGCTCGTGTTACGCGCGCGCGCGCGCGCGGCGAACGCGTATCGTACCGGGGCGGTGTCACGGCCAGCCGATACTTGTGGTGTCGTCGTGCCCGTTACGCGTGTCACTCCGGGCCGTACGATACGGCCGTCTCGCGTTGGTTGGGCGACCCGGCCGCGTAAAAACGGCGGTAATCCGAATACCCGGACGTTCGGATTGCGCGCGCGTTCGCCGCGCGGCGGGTTTTGGGCGCCACTGTTCGCGGCGCGCGCGCGTACCGCGGACACCGCGCTGTCGTTATCGACTCGCAAATCGAACGTCCCGTAAATTTTTATTATTAGCTCGCGGAATTTAACGCGTGTTTTGAGCGCGCGCGGGAGACGACGTTTACGAGGCCGTCTAACGACGCGTCGTTAACCGTTCCGGCAGACGTCCGCGGGCCGCGACGTCGCGCCGGAATCGCGCCGTTTCTGTTTCGTCGCGTACACGCGCGACGGCGCGAGGTTCGCCCGTCGCACGCGGGCATACTGTACCGTTCGAAACCGGCGAAAGCCATTCCAAAGTTATCCGTACGCGCGTGACGCTCGTTGTTATTGCGCGAAACGCGGATTTTTTTTGTGATTTATTATTATTATTTTTTTTTTTCGAAAAATTTGTTTTCCTTCTCCCCGTCTCGACAAAACCGGCCGCGGCTGTAATACGTTACGTTACCGTCATCACGTACTCATTGGTCATTACCGTTCGGGGCACATGCCGAGCCCGTGCCGTTTTTAATTTTTACACCGTTTTCGCGGCCGTAGTAGGCACTGGCGCATTGTATTTACAGGGGCGCGAAGTTGTCATTACGCGTTTTTAGCAGAACTCTCCGAAACACATCCAACAGTGTTTAGACAGACTCGTCGGAGTACCGATTTTTCAATTATCCCGCTTTTTATTTTGTTACGCTGAATTCACACCGCTTAGCTATTATGTATACTAAAACCGTTCGAAAAACCTTCCGACAACGTTCAAATACACTTGCCGGACATTGTTGAATATTCGTTGGACATTTTTTTTTTTTTTTTTTTAATAAAACTGTTGAATATCGAAAACGGTAATTTGTTTCAAAACCTTACAACATTTCTGAAAATGTATATTCTGTTATTCGTTGAGGCGTTATTTTTATTACGCGGTTTTATTTATTTGGACAGTATTGGTTAAGAACACATATTGTTTCAACTCCGGTAATAATAATATTAAGCAGTAGCCGTGTAGTAACCAAGCTGTCACGAGTGTAATAGTGTCGTGATTTTCAAAAATTTAAAAATTGTAATGTTTTCGCGCTGGAAAAAAAACTTAAATACTCTACTCTATAGACTATACATATTTTGTATCTGTTTTATAACATTCGATCAACCGCAATGGGTGTAACCAATAGTAGATAATAAAATAACCAAATATTTTAGGATCGTGAGCCAGTTCATCTCCTCGCGGTGCACCGTGGGTAACACTGAGTTAACCGGGGTAACCCCGATCTGGGTTACGTTGAAAATATAATATATTTTTTTTCAGTGACGCACCCGGATGATATCCTATTCCGGACGCACTCGGTAACATTGAAAAAGTGTCGTTACTTGACGCATTCGGGTAACACCGACTGCCTGCAACACTTACTTTCGGCCGTGAAACGACTGGGTACCCAGTATACACACTTTTGATTTATTTTCAAGCGAAAATGTGATATTCAACATTCCGCGAACGGGCGGACCTGTATTAGTTTACATAAATATCGATGTTGAAATTTTCGATTTCCGTCGACCCGCGTCGTTGACGAGATACTCAACTTGTTAAGTTTTGGTACTGGGAGAGTGGTGGAACGCCGCGGATTCAAACGCCGCGCGCTGCACAAATGACGCTCCGCTACTCGCCCTCCCAACCAAAACTCGAAAGCGGAATAACTCGTCGGCGGAAATCAACGGTTTCGAGACCGAAATGTACTTAAACTAATACTCCGTTTATTCGCGGGGTTTCGATGCCGTTTGAAAATCAAAAGCGGATAGTCGCGTTTCGCCCGCGAAAATAAGAACGACGAACAATAATGTACATGCTGCATTTCACAGCCGCTTGTTTCGTAAACTGTCCGAAAACAAATAAAAAATTCTGAAAAATGTTAATACGTTCCGAGAAACCGTAATGCGGGTACGCATTCCTTTTTTGCGGGACACCGCTTGTGTAGTACTATAACAATATTACGCGACACTTTTAAACATTATCCAAACTGGGAATAGCGGATAAAGGCCCGAACTCATACTCCGGGTAACAGACTCACTGTTGCAGTCGGAAAGCCGAGAAAGTGTATAGGATGTTGGGCGATGTATATTATAGTTAACATAATTAATCGTTGCAACCGAAACGCTATTCAGAGCGGCGATTGGCAAACTAGTTGATAAAGTCACGGTTGTGTTACTTTTGCCCTTGCAGCATAGTCAATAAGGCAATCATTTGCGAAATAACGAGTGGTTTATGTTAAACCAATCGCTACATTTATAATCGTATACGTATAGGCCGTATAACGAAATCGTAAGATGTAATAAGATATAAATAATAAAAAGAAAACCAGAGCGCGGGATAAAAACGCTGTTTGCCCGCATGTATCTATAATGATATTGAAAAACAATTTCGTTCTGGCGAGTTTTTAAAACAATTAAACGTGCCTATTTGATTACGATCGTATTTTTTTACATGTAGTGAACGGGTTTATACGTTTAAAAATCGTTCATATTTAAATAGATCGTATTAACAGACACGTCGTGTAGTACACGCGAACACTGTTATCGAGAATACTTTTTTCAGAAGTGTTCAATAAACTATATTATTATTCTGAACGTGGTTTTAATAAAAAGTCGAAAAATCGAAAAATAAAAAAAAAAACATTTGCTTAGTCTCGTTTTAGAGTGTTTAAAATGCTCGACTTTAAAAATTATAACGAATAAAATAATCACAATATCGAAATAAACGTTACTTCAATATCCAAAAGCAATTGGAAACTGTTAATTTTCATTTGAACAATATTTTCGAAATGAATACAGGAACCGTCTGAGGCAAATCGTCAGAGCGTAATTTAGTTATTTTAATTTACTCGTTGAACGTACAAGTGTTTAAATTCGCGGCCCGTATCACCGTTGATACTGGTAATATTGTAGCTTACGATACCTACCCGACGGTCAATATTATTAGGTAAAAAAACAAACGGACCAGAATCAACAAATTGATGATGATTATAATATTATCATTTGATCCGTATCGTGCGCAGTGCGTGTAGTAAGTATGTGTAGACGATTATCCCCGCGTTGCGGTATCCTTACATGGAATTGAACTATTTAAATTTTGAACATAATTTATGCAATACACATATTTTATCATATTTCGAAATTCGCACATTGACTTTAAATGCTTTGCAATTCGACCCGTATAAAGTCGAGCGTCCGTGTGTCTTTCTCCCTCTCTTCTCTAAATCTCCCGTTCTCCCCATCTCTCTTATAATATTATAGCTGATACGGTTCATAATATACTCGTTGTCTGTACGAATATACGCTATCTATCATCATAATAAACCAAACATCGGGAATGCCCCCCCCACGGGGCAATAACAGTGACTTGCAAGACATTACCGTAGCGATTTGCAGGACGTTTCGCGTGGAAAAATAAAAATATAAAATGTGTAATCGCTCGCGATACTGCACTGTTGAAAAAAAAACCGAAACAATCGTGTACGCGCGTATTCAATCGCGAGCTTTTTATTTTTGTATAGTTTCCGTCTTTGACCGCGAAACCGATGAAAATTATTGTTTCGGCCGCCGAAAATATCTCGTCTTCGTTCATCCGGCAATAATTATTATCAGCCAAGACACCTCATTGATGATTCACTTTTGACGTCACTGTATATAAGCGCTTGTATTAATATTTCTCCACGAAACCAATTTGCCTGCACAACATACATAAAATACGGCATTTCAATTAACTTCTCAATTGATCAGTCCGCTAGAGTTAATTCGAAAACGACCGGCCTTATTGAAACTATACAATATTATTAACGATAATAATTATTGATGAGCATACCTACCCCCCACACGTTTATTGTTTTTCAATAATAATTTATTTTTGTCTTTTTCGGTGGAAAAATTATAGTTTTAAGTTGAATAAAGAAAAAATTATATTGTATTTTATTGTCAAGTACGAATGAGCCAAATAGTCGCTTTGTGATCTGTAAATACTTAGAATGTTAAAATCCGGATTACAGTTTTCACTTAAAATGCGAAATAATTTCGGTTTTTATTTCTTCTTTTGGAAATGTATTTGAATAACAAACCGGTCAGGTTAAGGTGCGGAATATAAAAACTTCAAAATGTATCCAGTAATCGGCTGTAGTCGATATTTCATAACACATAAACAAATATTAACATAACATTAAAAACGTGTATGTTGTTTATATTTAATTAAATATATTTATATTTTGCTATAGAAGAAAAAAACAACATATTTACATAATACATTCGCGTTTTCCCCCTTTAATTGTAGCCTGCAATAAATAATTCACAAATTAACCAAGTTTTTGGTTTACATCTTTTTTTATTTTTTAAAAAACTGATTGGAATTTCGTTAGTTTTAACGAATTTATGAATTTTGTATCTGCGTTATAAGACCACTCTGAATCTAAAAATATTTTTAAAGTAAATTTATTTAAAACGCATAGAGGTATCCGTTTTGCTCAAGTTTGGTTCGGTAAATTATTGTCAAAAAAACCGTTATGCACACATCGTAATAATAATTATTATTGTAACCAATACATAATATCACTAAAAAAAAAAAAAAGAAATAAAGAAAAAACGAATTGTTTGTATGTAAACGATTGAACGATTATTTCAAACTACTGGGAAATATGATTTATAATTAAAGTCAGTCCGAAAAGGGTGGTATAGATATTTTCGGGTTAAATAGGCTGGTCCCAGACCCCAGTTTAAACTTGGGGAAACTGACTGCGCCGTAGTAAAATTAAATATTTAAATTGGAAATCATTCGCCTCGTCAGAGGTTGCCGGGGGTTACCTTTTTCAATAATTATTCTGCTGTTCATTGAGAACATTCGGTCATTGCGTGCACTTCTTGACTTTGATATAGGCCCGATAGAGTAGCTCAAGATGCATTCAAAAACCGCTATTATTTATAGGGTTTATCACGAAAATCTGAAAAATACGCTAACTCGTTATTGTCCGAAGTTTACAATGGTTTAAGTGGTTTATTTATCGCCAGAACTGTAAATAACACCATCGATTCGCAAATTTTTCCCAGAAAAATAATTGAGTTAATGAACATCGAAAACTCCAAAAAAAATCGTAAAAACTAAACGATTTATATTTAAAGTGAATATTCGTAACCCCAAAATTATTGATTTCAAAGTATACTTGGAAAACGGCTATCCCGGAATCTGTAAAAAAAAAGAAACTATTTTTAGTTTTAAGAAAAATATATAGTATAGAAATCATAGAGCAAGGTCTTGTGATTATTTAAAAAATAAAAGCAATCAATTTTTAACCGTCTGGAAAAAAATGTATTGTTACCGATATACTTAATTTATAATTATTTTATTAACTTAACGATTCGAAAACTTACAATTTTTTTTTTTAATCATCTTTTTAGATTCGGCGAGAAGCTTTATTGTAAAATGCTTTTCTGTTAGTAAAAACGACCCGACTTTTTCATGGCATATACCTCAAAATACGCGGATTTTTTTCTCGGCGTATTTTTTATCCGAATTTCCGACCGTTTGTCCTTAGGCCTTTATTTGTATAGCCTCGGAAAAAAATTGTTCGATATTTATCTTATTTATTCTACCGATGTCGCAGATCGCGTTACTTATAAAATTATTATAGTGGGAAATAATAATCATTTTTTTTTTTAAACAAATAGAATTTACACGGTTTACAATAACCGCACTTGAAATACATTAGGTATTCTGAGCCATTTTTTTTTTGATTTTTTTTTTTTTTTACGTACGAGTTTTATGAATAAAATATTACATCACAGAGCGCGGTTTATTTGTCATACAGTTCCGACAGAAACGAGCGGATAAATACGGAACCCGCGTGCAAACAAACGGCAAATCGTTTGCAGCACGCTGTTAGCGGTTCGTCATAAATCACTATTATATATAGGGGAGGCGCCTACCTATATAGAATATATAAAAAAATTACGTGCGTATATAACGTCATTATTACGTTTTCCGAATTATCGTTTTCCTTCTTTATTTATTTTTACACTGCGATGCGTTAAAATTTATTTACCAAACGTTTTAACGGGGAAGGTACGGGAAATATTATTATTCCTTTCCTGTTATAGTATTACACGTAACACAGTATCCGCCTACATCTTATATTCTGCCGACACAGACACTCGCGAAATGGGACTTCGGATTTTAATATCCGCACGATCGTCTCGCGTCTGTCCGCGTTAAACCTGTAGGCGTACCTAATAATAAATAATCCGTAAAAAAAAAAAAAAAAATTTAAATATTCAGGGTATTATCGTTATCCTCATACTATATACCTATTCATATATTGTGGGTACACGTATTATTGTCGATTGAAAATTTTGTACAAATAATAAAAAAAAAAATAATGATAATATCGTTACGGGTTTTTCTAGCGCTTACATCGTGGTCGCGAGAAACATGCCGCGCGCATAGTATTAAATAACAATATTCCTTTTTAAATAAATACGAAAAACGATAAAAAAAAAAAACCAACAACAACAACTTCTTCCGCCGTGTTATTTATTGTTATTGAATAAAAAATTATAGCCTCGCGGCTATCCGTACCGCTGTTATTAAATTGTAGTACGTCACGGACGTTGTATATTTTGTTTTACAAATAATACGTGTTTGTACTTTGTACATTTCAAATGTCTCAGCTATACGTGTTACATGAAAAAAAAAAAATTATCATTATATTGTTTTTTGTTTTTTTTTTGTTTTGTAGAAGAGAAAAACCTTTATTTGCCGACCGACGCGTCCACGGAACTGTACTTGTTAGCGTACTTGAGAGTTTGCAAATTCTATCCGGACAGCGCGTTCAAAAGGGTTTGTATATTTTAGAATGAAGTTTAATATACAGTATTCAAATAACCACCGCGGATTAATTCTACCTATGGATAGAAATTTCCGAAAAATAATTTTTCTGGAAAATTAGGATACGTTTACAAATTTCCTGTAAAACACTCCCCTCACCCAAAGAATCAAAAGTCAATGGAAACTACATGACGAATAATGCGTCAATAATATAATATGTACTATCGCATAATGTCCGTGATGTACGAGTCATTACACTTTCAAGTTACAGAAAAACATGGAATTTTAGATTCTAAGTAGAGCTGAAAAAGTATTAATTTTACAATGATGTTTATTTTGTATTTTTTCTGTGGACAATTTTTCTACCGGAAATTTCGCACCGATTTCCAAGTATAGTACTTTTTCTGAAAGTAAATCTGATTGGGGTGATACTTTAAGAATGTCATTTTTTGATTTTCCCAGGATATTTTTTTAATAAATAAGAATAACCGGGAAAAAACTGGACAATTTACGAAATTTATTATTTTCAAATTGTAAATATTACGGCCTCTAAAACATTTAAAACCGAACTCCGCTCAGAATCGTTTTTCGTTAGCAAAGATTAATCGTTGTGTACAGATAAAAATTTAAATTCTCCTTTATATCCGTAGACGTATATTATGGTGTTCCGCCAAGATTATTTTCTATATAATTATGTTATACATACAACTATACCGATTCGTACAATACTAGGGTACTTGCCCTTTTAATTTCCCTGAATAATTATTAATATAAATTATGTACACTGTATAGGTACAATCTTATAAGTCTTGAGCCACTCACTGTAAATATTCAGGCCTCTCAAAAATCCCTTCACCACGCCACCGCTGCCTACCACATTATAATAATATAATATATGCATTAAGTTAATAAGTTAAATACATTTTTATTTGTATTTTAGGTGAAGAGTTTGTATAAATTACGTCAGAAGAATCCGAAATACTGCAGCGACCTCATACCGAGTATAGAGAAAAACGTCTTCGAACAAAATATCCTGACGGTCTTACCGTTACGTGATCAACACGGAAGGCGCATAATGATCACTGAGTGTGGACGTACGTAAAGAATATTATGATCGGGATTCGGGCCTTATCACGTATAGCATTTAAAATCAACAAAAATACACTTGAAAACCGCCATTATAAGTTATTTAACTTAACAACCCCTTTAAATGCTTTTTTAGCACTTAAAAAAATGTCCAAAATTAAAATCCCAGTAGAATGTAGAAAGCATTTTTTTTTTTATTTTCAAACAATGGAAATAAGAAACACAAATAACTTTCAAATTTCGTATTAGAACTCGTAACATGGTCCACATTTCTATTACACTCTCCTAGATTTGACGCCAAGCCAAAAAAATATGCAAAAATGCTTTGTAACTCCCGAACCTTGATTATAATATATTTTGTTACTCTTATATTTCTTACATTTAGACATTTTAATCGTACTGTATATTGTTACGGTACATCATAACCTGTCAAAAATTTAAACTTATTGAACTTATTCTGTTTTCTAAAATTTAGTTTTATTCATAATTTAAACGTTCCATGCATTTAACCGATAATCCTAAAAAAACATAAAATCTATACTAACCGGAGTATAATCTATACTTCAATAATTTTTAAGTTTTATAGAATATACTAGATAATAGAGTACCTAGTTTTCCATAGTTAAAACGGAGTTATTTTTTTTAATCTATAGAGAGATGGAAAGTGAAGAATTGCTCGTTGACAGAGATCTTTCGAGGCATTGAGTTGGTGATGGAAGCGGCCATTCTCGAACCCAGAACCCAAGTGTCTGGCACTGTGTTGTTGGTGGACTTTATTGGTCTGACCATAAATCACGTTTGGCAATTTACGCCAAACTTTGCCAAACTCACTTTGGATTGGATACAAGTAAGATAATCCATTTATTTTTGTTACGACTGTAAGCATAACACGACCCGAGGAACTGTAGTTTCTCGTATTATACGCGACACGTCTTTGTCATTTATATTCTTTTGGGTATACCATAATAATTGCATTGTTTATTGCATGTTTTTATTCATGATACCTACTTAATTATCCGAAACAAGTACGAGAAGGGTAGTTACCGGAAACTCAAGTTAAATTAAGTACAATGTTCCTGATGGGCGGTTCTAAAACGTTGGTGCGATGAAGTTCAAACGAGCGTTAAAAAAATAGTGGGCGTCGGTTTCTAATGAACGGCGAAACGGAAAGGTAAACCGAACAGAATATGATTTTTTGCTCATACCGTGTCGGTGTTTTTTACACGCTTTCGCGGGAAAACGTATTAAATTTCCGGACCATTTTATTGATCTAAAATTAATTGCAAATATCATTACAAGAGTGATACCTACACGTACATATTATGTTTGTGTGTTATTAATCGGACGGATTTTCAAATTTCGTGTAACACTTAACGGCTCCAAAGCACAAGCTGACAATGGCAAAGGGGGGACGTTAATGGTTATAAATACATAACTTCCCCCATGAGTTTCAAAATATACCATTTGTAGTATGTATTTATTAGTTTTATCTTGTCGTTATATTATATTGTAGAAAATTCAAAAGGAAAAAAAAAAATCTTGATTTATTCAGTAGAAATTGGCTCTTTTCAATCCTGCTTTTAAATTCTCGTCGACATTCTGCGAACTGTTCGTGAATCACGATTATTATTTACTTCCTCCCCGCCCATTGATTCGTTTTTAAGGAGTGGCGATATGGTCACTAAGAAAATGATATGCGAACTAATCAGCAGTTATATTAATTCTAATACCTATTGTACATCTATAATATTATTGTAAAGACAAATCTTAGCGGAAAATCTTCGGCCCAACCAAGGATGACGATAGTGTAGATTGAAGAAGGAGGAATTATGTAGTCATAGAATATTATATATGTTTCTAAATTTTAAAACTGTTCATGAAAGATAAAAATACGTAATATCTCTGAAGAAAATATTGAAAAACAATTTTCATCTTAACAACTAATGTGTTATAAAACGTATGAAAAAAAAAAGAACCCAAGACAGTCATTCTATAAATATATTTGAAACAAAATTTTCGTGTCACGAATACCAAATTAATGATGAATCGTTAAGCGTTAACGATTTCTCAAAATGTATAACCAGAAACAAATGTATTTCTCATAGACCGATTGGCGATTGGCGTTATTTTTAGTATCTAGTGCTACAGAAAACCGTTTGTAAATGCGATATCCTAAATTTCAAACTTAATATCGACCGGTTCGCCAATTTCATACGAAACGTATAAGAACCGAAATCGAGTTTTTAAAAAATGCAATTTCTTTAAAAAAAAAAAATTTAAAAAAAAATTGATTTCCCTTATCCGCAATATAGGTGACTAGGTCTGTACTCGTCTGTAGCGTTCAAGACGTTCTATCGTTTACTGTAATAACAACAAATTAAAGACGGAAAAAAAAAATAATCAATAGTTTACTAGGTAATCATAACGCGTCTGAAGTGCATATTTTGAACAACGGTGAAATTAGGAAGTATATAAAACACAGTTATTTAGATCATGATTTTTTTTTAGAAATTATAATATCATACTCATTAAGGTTATTGATAAACTGCTGTGTAGGTATTGTATTTCATATATTTTATATACATTAGATATCTACTCACATATACCGGGTGATAATTTTATCGTTTAACATTCATTATTTCGAAAAGTATTGACTGATTTTTAAACATTTTTTTTTTTTTAAATTTAAGAAACAAATAGTTCTAAAATATTACAATATCATTTTTTTTTTTTTTTTTTTTTTTTTTTTGTCACCCTTATATTCAGTGGTCAATCGACTACCTACTTTTGATTTTCAAACGGTAACCAACATTGGAAATTCATCGAATAGACGGAGTATTAGTTAAAATAAATTTCGGTGTTGACATTTTTGATTTCCGTCAATCCATTAACAAGATATTCGACTTTTGAGTTTTCGTCGGATACTTGGATCTGTTTATTGGGATTTTTAATATAGCTATTTGCTATTTGTAAATCAAAAGTAAGTAGTCTTTTCACCTCCGAAAATCAGGACGACAAGACAAAATACAATGTAAATGAAAAAAATTGTAGAGCCCGCTCATCGTTTCTTAAATTTTCTACGGAACAGATTCCGAAAAAAAGTTCGTATACTTTCCGAGACAGCGAGTGTTTAACGATAAACGAATCACCCGGTATATTATATACTTACCTATACCTACTACGGCGGCGGAATTTAGTAAATTGTGTTTATCGGTCTCTCGCGACGCGTTAACAATCGTAAACCTCGCCGACGAATTATATTTACCGACACCTAAGATACCTTATATAATATGATATTGCGCACTAATAATAACGCACTCCAGTGCATTTTTTATTATTATTTTTCTATTTTTTTCTTCTTCAAATAAAACGCACAACGGTATTAGGTATGTATACTGCAGTGGCTGCAGCAGCGGACGAGTATTTTGCGGAACTTACAATGCATATTATTACGCATTCTTATACCGTTTCGCAAGTTTATGTTTAAAATATATAGGTTACCTACATTCCGAATTGTACGCGGTACGAGTTTTTTTTTTTTTTTACGTAGGTGCTGTCCGTGTTGTACGCGCGTTTTTATTACAGAATATTGGACTTTACAAAGATTCCGCGAACAAAACACAACGTTATTACAGATAACTATTATACGTAACAAGTATTCACGGCGGACGTACGCAATGATAAATGATGACTGATAGTAACTGAAGTCGGCCGCAAACTAAATTGCGAAATAATTGTTTTCGATCAAAGTATTAAATTATATTTTAATATCTACGTTCGCGCAACAAAAACGCAAGATGTATGAACCGTTTTTTTTTTGTTTTTTTTTTTAATTATTTACCAACGTATTCATTAATAATATATTTTTTTTTCGTATATACAATTTAAGAACTTAACAGCGGTGTTCCCCGCTCATCAAACGGGGCAAACAGATTTCTGTTGTTTTTTTCATTATTATTATTGTTATTAACGTACGTACACAGTTTTTGAATTTAATAACTTTTATTACAAGAGACGAGTACAAATCATCGTTTTACGGAAAATAACAAAAGAAAAACGCAAGAACAAATTGATATTAAAAAAAAAATAATAATAATAATTTTAAACATAATTCGAATGGCTTTTTGATGTTCGAAAAATTTTAATAAACGTTAAGCTATGCCATGTTTTAAAAATCGTATATATGCGTGTATAAAATACATGGTGATCGACTTTTCACGAACCAGTGATTTTCTCGTTGACCCCGAAACGAGTGTACAGTTTTAGATTTTCAAACAAAAACAATCGCTTTTGAACACGGATTCGATGATTTGCGGATTCGGAGATGGTAATTTGTTAACAAATGTTGAAAGACGCAGCAACAGTCATATCGAATCCATTGTTTATTTTCGTATTATATTAACATTAAGTGTATGAGAATTTCAGGTCGTAGGAGTGAACAATTGTTAATTTTGTTAAAGTAAAACTTAAAAGATTCCGTAAATATTTCGGAAATAAATGAAATCCACATTAGTCCTTCGGGAAAATCTCCGATTCAAGGTTGTTCGATCACCCTCTATACCCTGTGGAAACAATAATATTGAAGACGAATGTTGCAATATTTTCATTTACATCCGTAGACGTATTATGATACCGCCTGTTTACCTATTATGTTTTAAAAAATATATTTGACCGTCATATGTCGTATGATAATAACATGATTTATACGCATAGGTATTATATGTTAATAATAAAAACAAAAATTGATATGGTATTAAATTTGAAAAAAAAAAATACTATTGACATAATTTCACCTATAATAAAAATGCGTTTATCGAAATGTTTCAGTACTCGATGCCGGCGAGACTCAAAGAAGTCCATATCGTGAACCAACCGTACATATTCAATATGGTTTTTGCGATGTTCAAACCGTTTATGCAAGAGAAATTGAGAAATCGAGTACGTATAAACACAGTAAATTATTATAACCAATTACAGTATTATAACACGAGTGGATGGAAAAAAAAATTTATGTAATTTTTGTTTCGAAAATTAGTAGGTTTATGATATGAATTAATTTAGATTGTTTGCATTTAGATTAGAGCGTTTAGTAATTTAGTAATTTTACGATTATGTTATTTAGCAATTTTTAAAATTTAATTAGCTCGTGTTAAATACAAAACGAAATTGACCAAGACATTTCTTCCCGAAACTAAAGACATATAAGTAGAAGGTACAAATAGATATGCATATTTTGTGTGGCTGTTATTTTGTCTTATTGAAATAAATGTTTATTTTTAAGCGTACGGTATAGAGTGGTTGAGTTTACAACTAAACAATGTTTACGAACCACAATAATTATAGCAAGAATAAATTCGTTTTCGTGTTTTGTTTTAGTTTCGACGTTGGTTTTGGTTTTGTTTGTCTGTTGTGCGTTGGTATTTAGTAAATAATATATAGTAATATGACTGCTGCAGGTTTACCCTTCGATGAAGAACTTGTCGGTTATATGGGATTCCTAACCATGGAAATAATGAAGATGATTTGATATTTGCTGGTCATTGCTGAGCTAGATTTTTGATTTCCTTTAGTTCACAGTTGTTGAAAACAATGAAAACTGTTACAGTTCTATAACGTCAAAATTGTTAAAATTACCGTTCGATATATAATACAGGAACAAAACACGGACAGTTTCAAAAATCGATGGTGCAACACAATCACAACGCTGTCTTAATTTGAGGATGATTAAAGTTAAGCGAAACTTAGCAGTGTCGAGTTGAGAATAAACGGACACGTTTGATATGCCTGGTGCTCCGACCTTATTTTCAAAGAGTGTCGTGTACAGTATAGATCAAACGGTTAAATTATAATATTCTCGAGGATGCGTTTACAGCGCTAATATTTTATAATTCCATTAACTATTAATTACTAATATTATCTATTATAATTCACGATATACGTTTTTATCGTGTATTACACGTCACAAAACTAATAGATCTAATTATGTTTTTATTCATTGTGATCGATTCGAATATCGAATCAGATTGTGTAGTACTCATACCCACCAGAGTAGTTCACAGTTTTTATACCTATACATTAGTTAAAGAAAAAAAAAAACTCAAGAGCTCTGTCACTAGAGTCGAATTTTCCTCCAGGTGACTTGTTGTCTGTTATTTTTTATTTCAACGATAGAGAATTACAAACATACAAAATCTACAAACGGATGATGGGGTCGGAGAGTTGAAAGTTCAAATCTTCAAAAGGCACATTTTTTTTTTTTTTGACAGTAATTACATTTACGTATGGTACATGTTTTAATCGAGTTACTTTTACTCGCGTGAGACTTTCGTGTAAGGGCACTTTTTTAAAACCCGGTACGTTCTGCGAAAACGTGAATTCTGAGCATAAAAACGGTTGGGAAGGAGGCTGAAAGAAACCACCAAAAGGTGAATTCTTTATTCTTATAACTTAGTATATAATATATGCATAATGTCATCCCCCTTCATTTGAGGGCACCCCATTAGAAAATACCCCCTCCCGAAAAAAGTGCGCAGTGAAGTCAATATTGAAATTCAATCGCCCGCTTTAAACAGCGGTTAAAAGTAACGCGTTATTGTAGCGTGATACCTTTTTTTTAGCGATACTGGTAGCGTTTCGAGCAAGTTTAGTGCGATAAAACTATAGTTTTGCTTGGGAAAACATCTCGAAATTCGCTACTTTAAACGCACATTTTTACTAAAAATAAAATCGCGAACTTGACGAAATTTTATATAATTTGTAGTCATATTATTTTAATTTAGTATACAGTTAAATATTTATCTGCAGTTTCGTATCTTATCGGAAACGTCAAGTGTAAACAAATGTTGTTCTTATATTAAATCGTAAGAATCGATATTTAGGGTACTGCGTTTTGAAAAAAAATTTAAAAAAAGGCCCTTTCTACGAGTCGGAAAAAAGTTCGCGAGCTACATTTAATAAAAATAACATTTTTTAATTTTTTTTTTTAAATGTAGCGACAGCAACTTATAGCGTATTACATTGAAAACAGCGATTTCCAACCGCTGACTCGCGGTCCGCATGTAAAAAAAAAAAAAAAACTCCGATTCTCGAATTATTTTGGTCCAGAGGGAGCCGCTAAAAGCTTACCGGAAATAATATCGTCGGGGAGTGGGGGGAGGGGGGGAAATTCGATAAAAACAACAAAAAACAAACAATCGTCAATCGAAACATCAACAATGCGTATATACTCGCGTAGGATTACAATATTTAACAAAGACAATATTATTCCGTTTTCACGGTATTTTGTTAATGTATTATTGAAATAACAATAATAATAATCGTCTTGCTCGGCGTTTTTAACGCGAGACACTAATTGAATTCATTAACTCTAACCGATTTATAATAATATGATGCGTCGTTGCGTTCGTCGCTCGCCGTTACAATAACAAACACAATACGAGACCGTCCGTGTAGTTTTAAATGTTTCTCTCGGTTGTCATTATTAATTGTACCGTCCGTTCGATTAAATATTCATCATACAAAGTAGTGCCGCCCATTGCCCGCGAGAACATTAAAACGCGGCTAGTGTTATTATTGTTATACGACGCCCGTTTAATATTCGTATCTCGTATCCCGGGTAAACGCGTTCGATCGGCTCTTCATTACCGCAAATAACATTATGGCGATTTTTTTCGGTTTGGTTTTTTTTTTTTATTATTTATTACGCTTAATAAACCGTAACGTTATTGAGCCGTTCCCGTCTTCCTATCGTCGCACTATATCGCGGTCCGTTTAAGCGTCCGCACGCTCGACATTTCGAAATGCTGCGCATTAACGAGTTAATAACTCATCCACCCATAGCCGAGTTAATTTTAACGTTTTGACATAATGAATTCATTTTTATTCCCGAACCATTAACTCAACTGCCGACTCGATGAACATACTAAATAATTAACTTTTATTGAACTACAGTGAATTTTGTACGAGTTAAGTCGATTTCAGTTTTTATTTGTGTGCTCGTATAGACAAATGTATTATTATTATGATCGATATTTTGATTTTAATTTTAAGATTAGATTATACTACTCTGCTGCACTTGAGCCCTTACGGGCGTTTATCCGAATAAATAGATAAATAAATATATTACGAACATTTTAAATGCGAATTTTTGTGAACGCCTGTTATTTCTTACTGTTGTCGCCGATCGGGGGATGTAGGTAAATTATTAGGCCATTTTAGTATGGAATAGACAACATTAAATACATTTTTTTTTTTTTATGAACTTAATTTGAGTTCATAAGTTAATTTTTACTTTTGTTTGATTTTCTAACTTAATTGGATTAATACGATTTTTTGAACTTTTTACGATTTTAACTTTATTTAAATTAAACTTGACTTAATTGAGTTGAAAAAAATCATTAACTTGCCCAGCTTTGTCGAAAAGTATCAGATTTTTTCAACAAATTTCGTACGCACGCCCGCCCTTATTATTATTTCACATAAACGGACGCGATGTTTTAGTCTTAGCACATTCAAGTTTCGACGAGTGGAGAGTAATGAAAACGTAATTCGGACACATAAAATGACACTTGTCGTTACTACATCTGGTGATGATCAAAATTGGTCTTGGTCTTGCGGTCTCGCAAGAAAAAAAGATTAGAAACAATTGGAATTAGTATAACAAAAGTAAATACGGTGTGCATCATCTTTATTATAAATATATTTTTAATTTTGTTTATAGTTTGTGTGATACGATTGCATATTGGGTTTTGTGTACCTTAACTAGTGTCTTTGTACACCAAAGCTATGTAAATACTGTAGCGGACTTGTAGTCTGTTGATAATACGCCTTGCAACAGGCCTCATAACAGGTATTTAACTTTATTTTATAAATTTCGTGAAAATAGCTAGAATCTTGCAAGAGCCTTGCGCAAGACCAGACCAAGACCAAAACTGACTCTGCAACACCAAGACCAGGATTTTGAAAGTCTCGGTCATGGTCTTGTTTTGATCATCACTAACTATATCTGTCCACGCAAACTCGAAAGTGTAATAATATCTCGCTAATGGGGTAACACAGCTAAATGTCAACACCGAAATATATTTAAGCCGAAACGGTATCCGATTATGGAATTTTGAGCATAACATGTTGCCGTTTGAAAATCGATTGTAGGTAGCGGTTTCGCTACTAAAAAAAAGAAACAACGGTGATTTAATAGCATTTAAATGTTCTCCAGTCTAAACTTTAAACGGTTATTGCTCATAAACGGTTAGTGTGATATCGAAATTTCTGGAAAAATAATCTCTATTCAAATCTGTGTTCAAAAAAGGGGGTTTATGTTTATAAAAAAAAAAAAAAATAAATAAAAGCATATACCTATTTCAAGGTATATGGAATAGCGGCAGACGAATTAAAAATGGTTTTGAAATAAAGCATAACCGAAAACAGAAATCAAATTCACTTAAAATTCACCGAGAAAATTGCCGGTTCGTAAGGAAAAAAAAATCACCTTGCATACCTAGTATTATAGTATTAGATATAATACCGAAACAGACGAACAATCAGATATTTATCGATAAACGGATATTTCGGTATTTACTCAGTCGACTAAGCTGACCTATAGCGCGTCGCGAGCGCATCAACGCATAATAATATTACCATTAGTTTAGCAATCCAAATCCCGTTCGGTTAAAATGTTGTTCAATTTTTCAATTCCCCCATCCCCCCCCACGCCCCAATCCCAAATAATCCTCGAGAGGAGGATTTTCGCGGTGCCTCTATATCGCATTACACTTAAAAGGTTACATTCCAAATCTTTATGTTATAATAGAATATCTAAGACACGGAAGTTTACCGCAAACACTTTTTTTTTTTTTTTTTTTTTTTAAATAATATTATACAGATATGTTAAAACTGCACTTGTACCGTGGTACTCGTATTCGTATATATAAAATGTATTTGTACATCCGATATCCATACCGACCTTTTTTTTTTTTTTCTTCCGAATCTTTAGAATAAAATAGTATTAAATCCTTCGGTTTTACATTTTTTTTTTTTTTTTCTAATATAATATATATTATATACGACAGAACGATTCTTTAACCATCACGATGATCCATTACCATTATTAGATTTCCCTTCGTTACTCCCCAGATATAAATTCTGGGGCACCCGAGTATTGGATTACATATATATATATTTTTAAAAGGTATACAGAGACTGAACTACTAATGTAAAACACGAAAATATACGAATTTTTAACATTTTTGTTTGTTTCAGTACCTATGTAATTTAACAATTTTTTTTTTTTTAATACACAACTTTCTGGATAAAAAAAATGTTTATAAAATTAGTCAAATGATTATTAATTGTTTTTAAATAGCTGGCTGTTAATATTGAACATAAGTGCAACGAGATTATATTATAATACTTTATTAAAATCTAAAATGTGCTAAAATATAGTGGTCCGATTACCGCGTTCAATAACTTTAAAAAAAAAAAAAAAATAGTTAAATAAAATAGTAGCCTGATCACCGAGTCTATCTGTTATAAATGTACAATTTTAGCGGCTCAATTCCGGGCGGGCGCCCAAATTTCGAACAGTTACGACAAAAGAGTATAGGGGTAAGAATTCGGAAATATCGTTAGATTAAAATGATTTAAACATTTCGGTAATGCGATTGAAAAAATAGAAATCAAAAAATGCATTATTAAAATCCTCCTTATAATTAAAATAATACTGTTGCAAATACGTTTTTATTTATCGGTTGGAGTACATTACGCCTACGCATGCGCCGCCGTTTCCTTCTTACAAACGTAGCAGGACATTATAATATGCTATGTAAAGATGAAAATAAGAACCGGAATTATTGTATTGCCATTCATTTCAAGTCCCGACTCATTAAGCGCATCCATAGGTATACAGACAGGGTTTAAAAGTGAAACCAAAATGTAATTTAATTTCTGTAGATATACAAGACGACTCTGATCACCCACAGTGGTTAAATTTAGCATGTATTCAAATTTTGATTTTTGTAATTTTTAAGTGTAATTTTAAGCCGATGTTATCGAATATTTTTTCACAACAATTAAGGAGTACCTTATGGCGATATCAAATTTGATTTTTCAAATGAGAACTTGTTATTAAAAAATCCACGAATAGACGGAGTATTACTTTAAACGTTGGTGTTAAAATTTTTAATTTCCGTTAATCCTACTTCTGGAAAAATACGACTGAAAATGTTCTGCTGCGAATCGTTTTTCGTTTACAACGGTTTATCGTTGTGTACAGATATAAATCAAATTGCTGTTATATATTCTCGATCCTGAGACGGCGGCACAGCCATCAACAGTATCGGCCCTATTTTGTCCGTGTATTTGATCAAAAATTTCAAACCGAACAAAAACGGACCGTATTATATAATACGGAGTACGATTTTGCGCCGCGAGTTTTAATATTAAAGCGAACCGAACGAACGGTCGAACTTAAACGTTAGGCACATTGACTCGTACGTCGGTTTCGTGTCGACACTCGAGTTTTTTTTTTTTTTAAGCGAGATACGGGTAGGTATGCGAAAAATTGTCGTTTGAAAATCGTTCGAAATTCTTATCGTTTCGTTACGCCGCCGATCCCACGGCGCGCGGGAAAATCGGTCTAAATTGTCGTGTCCCGCGTCTGTTGGACGGATAACGAAAATATCGGTGTCCAATCCCCTTAATAGCAAGACGCAAGTTCTTTAATAATATATTATGTTATATAAGGTACATTACGTGTGCTCGTCTGTTGGTCGATTCTGTAAAACGCGTAGGAGTTTTTATAAGAATTGATAAAAGAAAAAAAAAAAATACGTGACTCCCCATTTTTTATTATATGTTGATGCAATTTTAAATTGTACAATACAAAAAGCAAAATCGTAAGATTATGTACGTACACCAAACTCTTGACCTAATTTACCGTAATAACAATACGTCGGTTACATATTGTACCGACACTCCTCACCGCGCGCCGACCTTTTAATGAAAATATCTTAACAATGTGTTCGATGGAATTTCAAATTATATCAAGCAAAATGAAAAAAAGAAATGTATCTCGGAGTTGTTGCGATTGTTAACAAGACCCTCGTGGGATATCGTCATTTTATAATCTCAACGGTGATAAATATAACGAAATTAGTAAACCGGATAAATTCCAAACGTTACAATAACACTACGAATTTCCTTACGCAGGTATCTCGTTAGTTTCTCAATCTTTGTCCTTTAAATACAGTTTTCGACGGTAACATTACGTTTGATAGTTTTAACAGTTTTCATAGACTTTAATTTTTCTACAATTATTTTTTTAAGGTCTGTATTTTGTACGATATGTTTTTAGACGAGTACGGAGAATATTAAGTGTTTACCTATTTTCCGCTAGTGCAAGTGGTTTCCATGGGAGGAGGCGATGAGAGCGATTGCCCCTCCTCCTGGAACATTTTTTTTTTTGTCGACTGTTAAGTATGTTCTGTACGTAAGCAACGAAAAAGCGATTCTGAGCGGAGTTCAGTTGGTAGTGATGCTTTGTCAACAATATATATGTCATATTATGGTAAAAAAATAATTTATTAGCCATTAGATATTTTCTTTAATAATATTTGTTTAATATTGTACCGATTTTTCCGTTGTACCTACGTTTTTCCCGGTTTTTCACATTTGTTGAGAAAACTCTGTAGAAAATCGAAAAATGACCTCCTTAAAGTACCCCCCCCCCAACAAAATTTCCTTTCAGAAATGTTGTTACATCGCAATCAGATCTTCGGCAGAAAAGTCATTCATAGATAAAATAATTGTAAAACCATAAGCTTCTTCGCTCCACTCAGAATCTAAAATGAAAGTTATGTGTAATTTATGATTAGGACCACAAACAAATTTTATCCTTTATTTGATACATGTCGTTATGATATGGAACTCGACAAATTTAAAATCGCTCCCCCTCTTCTTGATGTTTTATCAAAACCGCCACCGTTTCCCGCACCATGTCTACGGTTTCAATATATCGTATGAATTTGTTAGCTTTTTTCCGGGTACACATGGATTACCCGTAAGAAATAAATTTTTGATTTTCTTATTCAATAAGTTTTAAAACAAAATATTTTTCTTAGCAAAATGTAAGTAATTATTTCTTTTAGATTTTAAGCACATCTAGAAACGTATTGTTGTGATCATAATATTATGATGTGTTTAAAAAAAAAAAATGTTATCAACCCAAATAACCTTTTCCACCGAAAATCTCTATTCGATCTTCAAGTTGGATCCCTAGGTAATTTTTTTCTAATTTTCTTAACGATCGGGAAAATTCGGGAAAACGCGTAGAAAAACCGAGGAAATTTACGCAATCGCGGTTGATTCCGTTATTTGCGGTTTCGTTTTTATTTGTTGTAAATCGGTTGAAAATAATCGTACGTAGTTTTAGTTTTTTATATGTGTTTTAAGTTTAAATATCTAAAAAAAATCACGGCATTTCAAAACACGGTTAACCGAACATCGTTTTTCGATGGCAATGACTTATCGTTGAGTACGGATACAAATTAAACGATTCTATAATACGGACCTTTTCAATTCCCCACACACAACACAGATACACACCCGTCAGCAGTTAACAGCTTGTATATACATTTTTTATAACTACCGGGTTTATGTCTCTCCAGCACATTATAGTGTTCGTTTATAATATTATCGCACACAATAGACACTTGTAAAACAATGTGCATAATGAATTGCGTACACGTCACTCCTGGTGAATGGCGTCGTCAGAGTAACGCGTATTTTTTTACGGTTCGAAAGTAATAATAAAAACAAATTTCGGTTTTAGACAAACACGGATACCATCCGTTTATAAACATGGCGATCAATATAACGTAAGACAATCGCCATCTCGAGAAGTATTCATTTTGTCGGTGATTTGTTTTTTACAGTAAATGTATGTAACAAACAACTCTAAAATGTTACATTACCGTTATTTTTTGTCACCCTTGTTTTCGGGGTTGAAAAAACTATGCTTACGTTTGATCTACGAGCAGCACCCTCCTTTGTCAAAAAAAGATACGGACATACTTCGCACGATGGGTTGGCCAATGTTATAGGTGAGAAGTTGAGTAGATTGGATATAAGAGAAATTGAATGGTTAAAATAAACGATTAAACATTGCTACCGAAATATGATTCTGAGCGGAGTTCGGTTTTGCATGTTTTGAAGGCAGTAATATTTACGATATTAAAATAATACATTTCGTAAATTTTCCAATTTTTCTCGGTTTTTCGGTTTTTCCCATTTATTATGAAAATAGCTGGAAAACCAAAAATTGACTTTCTTTAAATACTACCCCAGTCAAATTTCCATTTAGAAAAAATGCTGTACTTAAAAATCGGAGCGAAATTGCTAGTAGAATATTTATCCACGGAAAAAAAAAAATTATAAATAATAAACACCATTGTAAACCAATACAGTCTTCGCTTCGCTCAGAATCCAAAATCCACAAATTAATGGAAATATGGAATATTAGTTTAAATATATTTTACGTGAACAAAATTATTACTTTCCATCAGCGTGTAGTACACTTTGTGTGAGGCCCGGCATTTTTCTATACTTATTAGTTACCACCCAAAAGCCTTCTCATGAGCATTATCAGTAATAAATTGCTATTAGTTATCTTTCAAACTCGCTGTTCTGCAGTTCTACATAATAAAGCCTTCAACCGCGCAATCGTCCAGTGGCGACCGTCCGCAAGAAGCGAGTGATACGTGGATAACTTGAAAACAACCTAAAATCAACAAATAATGTTTAATGACAACAACCCCGCGTGTTTCATTAATTCTCATAGTGTATACAAATATATATTTTGGTCTCTCGCAAAATTATAAACATCGTCTCTTATCCTTGTAATTTTTAAAATATTTGCCGGACTCAGATACCAATTTAGTCGAAGAACGGGCCTCAAAAAACAAAACTCATCACTCCCGTAGCTTTTAGCGTTAGTGAGCGTTTGATGTTGATCACTTTGAATAGACCGGTACCTTGCGCAAATAATGAAAAATACCAATCGATATTATCGCGGTACGCCGTTGGTGCGATAAACCGTAAACAAATTCGCGACACGTAAAACTTTTAGCGGATTAAACGAGATTTCCCGCGGTATTATAATATTATTCTGCCCTCTTAAACTAAAGGGCAGTAAGCGGCACAATTTGATAAACTACCGCTCTTATATTAAAATATTTGTTATTTTAAAGCGTATATTTTTGGTTCTTAACGAAAATACCGTGAATACAATTTATTTCACAATACACGTGGTTAAACACATAATATACTTTAAAAAAAATCATCTCTGTTCGTTCCTAAGCAAAAAAAAAACAGTGTCAAACATGTTATCTCACACTAAGCAATAACTGATCACACGTTCACACTATTATACAATGATTTGGTTCGTTGCGGCTCACCAACGGTATTTTCGATTAGCACTGTGATAAGAAAACAAGACTGTTCAGAAAACGACTTCGTTCAAAACTATTATAAAATGTCATTTTACGGCCTATCGGTTTAGGAGAGCAGTATAATATTGGTAATACGCGTCGTCATATTTCTCAGCGATGTTATAATACTGTTATTATTTCGCACACGGGAACGCGCAAATAAATCACGTGGTCGAGGGGGAAAAAAAGTTAAAACTCAACGTTTGTGCGCGATGATCTCATCGCGGCGGCGGAGCATATTCGGCGTAATATAAATATCCCGCGTACATAGCATATAGAGAAACGTTATATTTTTTTTTTTCTAATCAAAGGAACCCGCCACAGTAGATTTTTATAATCATATATCATGTGCATAGTATAATAAAAATTTTAAAATTTGTTCCAGTTGTTTTTCCACGGTTACGATCATACGTCGTTGTTGTCGTATCTGGACGCCAAATGTTTGCCGACGAAATACGGCGGCCTCATGGACATCGAAACCAATCAGGGCGTAGACTTGTGGAATCTACTGTGCCATTACGAGGACAATTACAAAGGTACGCGCGAATTTAGGAAATAAATCAAAAATACTAAAAAAAAAAAAAAAACCACGTACGATTTTAACGATTTTTTCTCGTCTGTTTTCAGTGACAAACGAATTCGGTTACAAAAAGAACAAATGATCAAACGCGTACATACCTACGAGCTCATACATATTATATCTTTATTATCTATAACTATCACTATATTGTTATCATAATTTATATATATTTTATAACCATATCACCATGAAGACTCTTTGTAGACTAGATATATATATCATAATTATCATGTTATAAGCACCTATATATTCGATTTTTATATCATTCAACAACATAATATTATTATACATACTATATCATTATAAATCAATTGCGGTTTAAAATATTCAATGCGAATCACGATGAAAAAACGGCGTTATTAAGACCGCCGTAAAATTCGATTTTATGCTATCCAAAAGGTCTAAACGCGTGACAAAAACCGCGGTAATACGTTCTATGGTTAGGTTTAAAAAAAAAAAAAAGTATGACCGCGTGCGAGTATCTAAACTAACTCACGCTTTGCTCAATCGGACGAAGCGTATATTTCTCGTGTCAAAAGGGCGCGTAACCGTATACGTAATTCGAGTGTAAAAACACAGTTTTGCTTAATCGAGAAATCGACGTTTTCACAGGGTGTAGGCGAAGGAGAACGAGCGCTGCGCAACGTTGTGTTTATTTTTTCGATATTGCGAATGCCCGAATATGCATTCTAGTTTAAAGGACCGGACAATTTTAAGGTTTTCAAAGTAGAATAACTTTTTTCGTATCAATAATATCGACGTTGCGCTGGGCGAGTTTTCTTTGTTTTGTTTATTGTGAACATTTTTTTTACTAACCGAGTAACCATACATAAAGTCCGAGCGAAACGGTTTTTCGTAAACATTGTTGTTGACTTCACGATCGTACCATGCTCGTGTGAATGCTCTTGATAAAGACACGGGGCTACTATCTGTAATGTATCAATATATACATAATGACTTCGCTTTTTCGAAAATACGCGACCTCTTACGTCGTATTAAGAATATTTTTTTTTTTTAAAAATTATTCACCAACAAAAACCAAAAAAAAAAAAAGAAGAACAACAATCGCGAACGTTTTTTACAACATTGCGAAAAGCGCTCCGACCGGCGTAAAGCGTATAGTCTCGTTTGCGAGTTCAAACGTCTTTTCGCTTTTAAACTCGAACCGCCGTAAGTACCGGCATTTTTGTCAGGCCTTTACGTCCATACAAATCACGTAAAACCATATGTATTCGATTGTCGGACTGTCGTTCGTTCGATAATGTTATTAATACCGTTTAAGTAAATATCAATTCGACGGCCGTACATTACAGAAAGTATCTGTTTCGATGTACACTGCAGTACAATATAACGGGTGGCCGCAAACGTTATTCGTACGAATAAAATACAAAGCCCGGATTAAGACGTTTAAAGGGGACAAGACTTCTCGACGAGGCCCCGAAAAAGAATAATAAAAATGAAAATCGTTCGAAACACTGTTGCCACATTATATCCGATAGTAATAAGCAGTATTTTAATCAAATAAAAGTAACAGTAAATGATAGTTCCACTAAAGGTCGTAAACGAAAAGTTCAACTAAAAGCCATTGTACCACCTTCCCCTCCTCCCCTTTCCTTCCCCCTTCCCTCGCCTCTCGCCCAATAGACCACTCCTTAATCCGGGCTCACTTAACATGATACGAACGAATAGATGTAGATAATATAGAGTGAAGATTTTTTTTTTTATCCGGGATAATATTTTATATACTGCTACTGCCGCAACACGTGAATTCCGAAACAAAAAATAGGGCTCGGAATTTATATAAAGTAAATTTGAGGAAATACGCCCCTCCCCGAAAATATGCATACGAAAAACGCACGGACAAAAGGTAAAAAAAATAAATTGAGATTTAAGAAAGAATTATTTACCGTAGGTAGACCGATTTTAAATTTTGCATTTTAGTACATGCAGTTAAACAAATCTGCGTCGAATGAAAAACACATTAATTTAATTAGATTTTGATTTTTAATTTTTTCAAACTTCAATTTTCTTCATTAATCTTAATATTATTACGCTAAAGACGAAAACAAAAAGAAATTATCAAAGTATTATTAGTTAACCATTCGCGTTCCTTATCTCAGCGTGTTTGTATAGTTCCTATATTATACTTGCGGATGGTTCACCGTGCCGATAATATGTTCATATTGTAATACGAAATACAAATGAATAAAAATTGATCGTAAACAATTAATGTTTTACTTCTTTTAAACGCTTTCTAATAAAACGAATAAAACGTCGACGAAATAGTCGAATATTATGTATTTTTTGCGGATAATCGTCGAAATATGCAGGAAACAATTTTCATTTAAAAACGTTAGGGCTTATACGGCCGGCATTTTTATCCCGGTTCGCCACGAATAACAGGTCCAGAACGAAAAAAAACCCACACAAATCCTGCAACTTCCGAGCCCAATAAATGATGGTGAATACATTTTAATATCGTCGGCCTTGATTATTTCCTGCAATGTCCGACTTTACTGTCTCCGGGACAGCTGTCTGTCCGGGGATAAGTGAAAAAAAACGTTTGCGTCGTAAAACTCCCGGAACCGGATAACGACGCTGATTTTTACGGTGTTCCGACAGGGATGAAACTCCGGCGCGCGGACTAATTTGATACGATACACAGGACCGGAAACGGACGGCAGGTAATCCTCGGGGGCGAGCGAGTCACTTTCGTTTCTTCTGTGAGCCCCCTCCCCTAACCACTACCCCGTAGCCCGTACCCCGAATTGCGCGTTTGTTTTGTCGGTCGCCCGTATCCGGCGCTCGTTTCCGGTCCCGCGCGTCTTAAGCCCGCGGCGCTGCACCCGAAGCTACAACAATATAACTAGCCGTTTTGCTGCCGGATCGCGCGGAACCGTTGCCACGCCGATTTTCCACATCGCAAAAGCCGACTATAGATATCCGTCGACGATCCATCAGTTGTTACTTATCGCTGAAACGGTGGCGCGACGAGAAATACCCGTCGAGGGATCATCAAGCGAGCAAACGGGACGCGCGCCACATTTATTTTCCGACACCGGGAACTGAATTCGAAGACCCGACACACGAAAGAGCGCCTAGAATCAGGCCAAACAGTATTTCGCGCTTTGAGGGGACGTATCGCAGACAGAAACGTGACTAGGAAAAAAATAAATAATTTGGTCACAACACGAATACGGATACAGTTGATTTAGTCGGAGAAGATAGTTACAGGATTCACCATATTCGTAAAACCTAAAATGACGATCTCGAGGTTAGGGATCGAGGGCCCCTAGTAATTGAGTACGGACGGGAACCCGCCGGGAAATTCCCGATTCACCCACACACGCCTATCAGCTACCGCTTCGTGGTCCCGATCCACGAGCGCTGCAGAACGACCGTAGCGTGCGGCGAGCTTCGACATTTTCAAGTATTTTTATCGATCTAAATGTCTACCGTCGATTGGAAATCTAACGGTAATCTATTTTGTTATAATTTCTAAATTTCTTTCGCTACTGTAATAAATTGCGAATCGGGCCGACGAAATAATATTATTGTTAACGAAATATTTTTCATCGCGAACATAACCGACGCCGTTTACTCGGCGGCGGTTTACGAGTCATTAAGTCGTAATTTTTTTTTTTTTTTACACAATTCACTATAATAAATAAAGTCGCCTACCCACGCATTATTTTACTGTATAAATATTATACATTTTATTATTACATATATCGTTGTGTTACCACGATGACATTTTCACCGTACGCATTGTCTTTTTGTTGTATTTTATTATATAATTTATTCATATTATCATAATATGATCTCGTTTACAGGCAAATTTGTACATTTCTTTTTTTTTAATACCTAATAATAAATGTATTTTATTTTTGAAAAAAATTGTCCACCCGCAATTACGAACGATTGTTTTCGCATTCGATTTGATTTGATTAGATTTTTATTTATTTTTTTTTTTTTGGCCGGTCAATAATATTATAAATCGCTCGAACGAAAGCAAAAAACGATTCTGAACGGAACACAGTAATGAAATCGTACTAATAAACATAAAAAAAAAAAACAAAACAATACGTTACGAAAGCTATATGCGTTTTACAGTCGGTTAACTAAAGAAAAAAGATAAAAACGAACTGCATTTTCCTACAAATTCACAGCCTCGCCGACGATTTAATGATGAAAAATTCTGTAGACTATTGTAATGACTAATGTATAAATAGTTTAGTTTTTTTATTTGCTTTTATGCCTACTGTATAATGATATAATGCATACTCTTAGAACCTATCGATAAACTGTACGTGCATAAATTATATATTTATGCAAATACGTTTTACGTTTTAAACACAAATATAATTATACGTATACACAAATTTAAATACACCAGCAAATAAAACACCGAACTGAAAAACGAAAACGTATACCGTATATAAAATTGTATTATAAAAACAAGGCCCATAAGGTTCAACTCATCTCCATCCCCGATTACCCCCGCGTGTATAAGCCATAATATTAGAATAGTATAAAAAGTTCAGGCATCCCTCCGTTGATTTTGAACCACTTCGACCACTGCATACGGACCTTATGGTAATATACGCGGTGCGTTTACGAGTATCTATAATATATTATGTACAATGTGTGTAGTGTGTATACAAACGTATAGTGCTAGACACACTAAATAATTCTGAATAGTCGAAAAATACACGTTCTTGCGACGAAACTTTACGCGATTTTCGAGAATTTGTACGCGTGCGGGTAACCAGAAGAAAAAAAAACCACCTTTTCACGTATGAATAAAATGGGCGGCCGAAAACCTCGGAAAAAAGTGACAGGAAATTTAAAAAAAAAGCTCGAAATCGTCCCGAATCGGAGACACTGTTCGTTATTCCGCTGTATTTCGATCCGGGTCTATAGCGGTGGCGGATTCGATTCGTCTTTTAGCGGCGGTCAATATCCTTTCGGCGCGAACGCAATAATTTCAACCAGCACGGCCAGACGTCAGTCGGTCAACGCGACCGCTATACAGCGCAGCTATCTACGGGGGCCGCGATTATAGCGAACATTAACATTTCCGAACTGCTATACAGATTTCCGAAAGAAATCGTCATTTATAGGCGGTTCGACGTCTATGAGGGGGTACACGGTCCCTGTGGCCCCCGCCTAAACGCCGTGCCGGAGCAATAGCAGACGGACCCCCGCGTTGCGTGTTGTCTCACCGAATTATTTATTTATTTATTTATTTATTTATATATATATATATACGGAATAATATTCCAATTACAATAATAATACGTTGATTGAAAGAGTTACGAATGTACTACAATACAACATTAAGATTAATTACAGCTAAAAACAAGTAGAAGTGGTAAATACGTAATCAATATAAGATATGAATTTAAAAAGAAATAATTAATTAATATAACAAAAATTTGTCGATCAATATAACAAATATTACACAAATCAGCCTGTCGGAGAGTAAAAAGAAGGTAAAAATACTCGCGTTAAAAGAATGTAAAAAAGAAAAATACAAAACAATGGCATATAATTGAATTATTGAACGTAGTAATTTTTTAAAAGATCGGATGCTGTTATCGTATACATGCGACTTACGCGGCGTTTATTGGCTTAACTCGAAACCGTCTCGGACTGTCCTCGCGCGCGGCGGAGTAATTGATCGCGTTTACCCGCGTCGACGGGCGCTGTTATTATTGTTATCGCACGCAGACGCCGCGGTTCGAACCCGACGTTCGGGCCGCGGCGTTTGCGCTCGACGGCGATAACGCCGCGTAGCAACCTCGTAGATGCTATTGGACGGGTACTTCGTCGTTGTCGCCGGTTTCTCGGCGGTGAGTAATGGATATTCGAATATTGTTTTCGGTCGTTTTCGGGCGGGGTATACGAAATAACGGACGGCGGCGGCCGCAAGAGAGATGCTTAATCCTTTGACGACAATTTAGTGGTACGCCCGCGTATAATAACAATAATATACGTCGCGTAGCCGGCGCAACCGCGCGGTTACTACCCGGGTTACCCAAAACAAACATAGACGGTAATGTGTACCCGAGTATTACGATGTTATACGATAATTATTATTGTTGTATCACGCGTTTTATCTACGCGCTGTACGACGTAAAATATGCGCGTTGACACGGACGCGCGTCGTACTGCGCGCAAGTGTACGTATACATATATACGCGTGATACACGATAACGTGTGTACCGATGTGATACACGTCGAAGCCGCGGATTACGATTTACGGATATTATTTCGTATATACTTCTGTATAACAGGCCTCGTATACGATAGCTGATAATATACCTGCCCGCGTGTGCGCGTGGGCGTACAAACAGCGGGCGCGCCGAAAATATCGTGTAAATGTTTGTCCTGTACGGGCGACCGAACCCGCGGTCGGATTACGCGCGCAGTAGAAGAGATACCCGCGCCCGCGGCCCCGTTATCACGATGCCGGCGACGAGCTCCCGTCGTTAACCACGCGCCGTTTGTACCGGTGTAAAACGCTCGGCGCCTGGGAAACGCGCGCGGCGATAACGCCGAGCCGTCGGTCCCCGCGGTCTTTTGCCGTGCGGGCGGTACCCGGGGACACCGATCGGTGTCCGCGCCGCGTGCGGCGGCGTGTCCCGCCATGTCCGACGGGCTTTTCACGGAGCTGTTAATAGTAAATGCTTTTCAACTTCGGCGTTTTACTTCGAGGGGGACATTGATTCGGGAAAAAAAAAAAAATTAAATTTTCATCCCCTTAACAAACACACGCACACGCACACGCACGAGATAAAAAAAAATTACTTTTTATTTATTCACTTTACGACATTTTCAAAATGCCATTTGTATATAAGAGACATTATCTTAAAAATTTCAATGTATCACGCGTTCATATCCGATCAACAGTTTCTTATAGTATTAATAGCCGTTTTAATTTCTAGAAAATAAGTGTGAAAACAATTTAATATCTTTTACAAAATGGCCATTTTGAAAATATTTTTGAAAGTGAACAAATAAAAAAAAAAATATTATTGTAATAACTTTTAAACGTTAAAATATTTCAACGGTATCGCGGTAAAAAGGTTTGAGCGATACGGCTTCACTATTGGATGGAGAAATACGCGTTTCGTCCATTGCGCGTGCCCGAAAACAGCTTCGGCCATTG